ATAGATAAAAAAGAAATTTTTTTCTCACTCTGGATCGAGATATCCTGGAGTCCCTTTGACAATAGTTGAGACATGAGATGTGTTGTTCTTGTCATAAAGCTTGGAAAGCCCAAAGTCAGTGACTTTGGCAACCATAGCAGAACTTAAGAGTATGTTGGTTGTTTTGATGTCACGATGGATTATATGAAGATTGCAAGACGTATGCAAATACTCCAATCCTACAAAATTCACTGCTGAGAGTCACTATACAAACTCATCTCATTTACCTTGAGCAGCGTCTAAAGCAATTTGCAGCCGAGATTTCCAGCTTAAAGTTGGACAGTTTGTGCCTATATGACACATCATAAAGAAACAAATGGATCAAAAGAAGATATCACTTACCATACAAGTGCTTTTTTATAGTTCCATTTGACAAAAACTCATAGAGCAGTATAAGCTTCGATCCATGGTCACAGTAGCCAAGAAAAGAGACCAAGTTCCTATGATGTACCACTGATAGAATATCAATCTGCCGAGAAGATACAATCAGTTTGGTATTCATGCTTGACGATCAAACGCACCTCCGTGTTAAATTCTTGATATCCTTGCTTTGAGGTGCTTGACAAGACCTTAACAGCAACTTCCACACCATTGGAAAGGCAGCCATAGTACACTGGTCCAAAGCTTCCTTCGCCTAGAACTCGCTTGAAGTTGTTTGTGGCCTCGACCACAGCTTTATAACTAAAGATTTTGGTGTTGGAGTTTGGAGACTTTGGAGCCAGGCCTGGGAGATGAAATGCAAGCTATAAACACAAGGCTTAGACTTTGCAACTTACCTGGACTCTTGGTATCTTTGTTATCTTTCTCCTGTGTTCCGATGGTTCTTGGGCTGTTATCTGCTGTTTTTCTATGGGACATAAAACACACGACGAGTCCAGTCGCAAGTAGTATCACGGCTATGCATGGAACCGCTACTCCAATTAGAAGTGTTGTATTTTTTTTCTTCTTTGTGTGGCATAACTTAAAAGTAGTGCTGCGGGAAGTAAAACGATATATAAATTTCAAGAGAGAAATTCGTATACTAACTTGAAATGCATTTCTGGTGGTACGCAATCCAAATTGTTGTTTTGTAATGATCTGTAACATAGTGACTATAAGGACTATTTTATTATATGCAGTACTCACAAAACCGTGAGGTTTTTCAAAGAGCTAAAGTCTGGAACTGGCCCTGTCAATGCGTTGTTATCCAAATATCTGAAGAACTAAAAATGAGAAAAACAAAGAATTGCTAAAGAACCTTCCATACATTTTTGTTAGATGCGATAGGTTCATGATGGACCGTGATATGTTACCACTTAGCCGCTGATTGGACAAGTTCCTGCAGTGAGAGCTCTTAAGTTTTTCGTATGATAGATCTAGATACGTCCCTTACAGCTCTGTAATTCTCGCTGGGATTTGAGCTACATCGCAAGTGATCCACCGCCAAGTGTACGGAAGTGGCAAGCAAGGATCTCCCGACCATCCAGTGATGTTAAATTCGTTCATTACATTGCGAATCGCTACCACTGTCCAGAAAAAGGGGAAAAAACGAGACTTTAATAGCATAAATTATGCTAAATACCATCGTCGGGTTCTGTCCCTGGAAGGAGACCACCTTTGTACATGAAGAGCTCGGCGGCATTGAGGATTGGACCCAGCGTAGAGTTTGGCGTGGGAACGAGAAAGAAACGCGTTGGATCAGAAAGCTCCACGGGAGCTTCGAGATACACTTGCACTGAAGTAAGCGGAGCCTGGGTGTGCTTTTCGATGTTGACGGTCACCGCGATCTGGGGAGTTTCAAGAGAGCTGGTGTTGAAAAGGAGCATGAACTCTCTCGTGTCGTTCCCCAGAGCGAAGAACTCCGCAAAGTAAAAGTTGACGTAGTACTTCGTTGCCTCGAGCGTGACTGGAAACTCGAAGACCATCACGGAGTTGGAGACGATGGCGGAGCTCATCACCGCGGTGGGAGGCTTGTTAGAAGTTTTCCCTACGGAAACAGTCGAGTTAGTGTTGATCCGCTGGTAGCTTCCCATGTTTTTGAAGCCCTTGTCAGCTCTCCATATTCGATCGTATTCATCCAAAGGATACCTGTTCGAAGAATTGAACGCTCGAAGAGAAAAAAGTTTGGGAGTTTCTTACCTGATATCTTCGTTTGAAGTTGCTCCAAGATTGATCCTTCTCCACATGAGTAAGACCTCACTATAATCCGAGACACTTCCACTCATCCCAGGAGCCAGCCTTCTAAGCTCGATTGTGGAGATGAATGGGATATTTGCCGGTGAATTCGAGCTGGTTCCAAGGCATAGATCTAGTGTCGAGTTTGTGGCTTTCACCACAAACTCGCAGTACGACGACGACTGGCTTCCCAGGCTCGCATTCATCACAGTATTCGCACCAATTGCAATGTCAAACTCGGCTACAGTTGATTCCAGCCCGTCGTAGTTTCCGTAGTAGAACCCCGGCCTCACGATGTAGCTCTCATCCACGACGACTGGCAAAGCGTAGCAGTGCTTCCGGGAGGTGTCGCTAAAGTAGCGAAGACGCTGAAAAATTAGATCCGAGTCTTGTTTCAAAGAGCTTGCAATGAAGGTTTTCACTCCGGTGGTGATGTATTTGTCGTCGGGTATCCATTCGATACCATTGTCATCCGTGTGGCTGTCGAAAGCTCCACAGTCGAGGCTCAAAAACCCTGGACAAAATCGATAGAGTACTTATAAAAGCGTTTGGATCGTGGAAATGCTGCTCACCTGGTTGAGCTGAAACAGAAGTCTGTCCTGCAAGGATCAAGCCACACGTGAAAAGGAGAAGATGCCACATTTTTCGCTTGAAACTCGGGCCTTTTTTGCCAAAGAATTAAGTGCTGATAGTCAAATAAGAGCGTTGCGGCCTAGTCTGTATAAGACCAAGCAAACAATAACGCATGTATAAGAATCAGGGAGGGCGAGGGCGATGTCACGGTCAAAGTCAAGGTCAAAGTCGCGACGACCAGCGCTGGGGCGCAAAGGCACAGGAATATTCGCAAGCACTGATCGCAGGAAGATTCCTCCTCTCCTCTTCTGTAGGACTGGAATTTTACAAATTGGAATAAAACGAAGTTATCGCCCATGGAAAAATCGCGATCGCACGTGCACTGCTCGACCATGACTGTAGTTGTGGACTCTATTCAGCCCAGTCAAACACGCTCCCGGTTGACTGGAACGTGTAAACAAACAACCAACCAACCACCATTAAACAATCTTGAAAGTCAAAGGCTGTTTTTGTTGTTAGTTGGTGTTGGCTGGGCAAAACAAAAAGCTACATGGAGAGAAAAAAGCGAGGCAAAACAACCCAACTCCCTCGCTTTTTTCTCTCCATGTAGCTTTTTGTTTAGGGCAACCTAAACTCTAAATTAACTTTTTAAATTTTTTTTTGCAACATTTAAAGGCATTTTAACACTAGGTCAGCTATGATTAAAGTTGTTAATATCTAGTTTTTTTGTAGTTCTTTAATTTTTATAGAAACTATGAATACAAATGTATAATAAAACTGATATTTATAATATTATTATAAGCTTAATGCTTATTTATTATGTTGTCTTGATAAAAATTATGTTATAAATATAAAAAATTACAAAAATTAATTATTTTATTTAGTTCAGAAAATCAATTTACACATAATTTTAAAACTTTAATATATATGTTTAGAAATTATTTATATTCATAAACTTGTTGGGAATTAGCCATTGATTTGAGAAATGATCCAAGCTAAATTTTTATCAATATCATCAACATGAGAAAACTTTATTCCTTTTCTTCCCCTTTCTCCTCTTTAGGTGGTTGTTGCTTCCTTTCTTTCCTTTTGGACTTTCAACCTTGAGGAGAAGGTCCTAAACCTAAATCTTAAAAACCCTAAACCATTGGATCAGAGTTGCCCATAAAGGGTGGCAATTAGGAAGCTAATGTGTTCACATCTAGGCTGGTTATCACATATATGACGAATATGGAAAACCTTTATAGCTTGAGATTAATGTAGATCCAAGGGTTTTAGGTAGCAAAAGCTGCCTCCAAATGTATAATAGGGATAATGGGGTTGGATATTGTACGAGACACTATTTACTAGGGTATCACTCTTTGAAGGATGACACTTAAGCTACCAATTGGCTCATATTCAATTTTTGGGACTTGAAGTCATACTTCTCCTTATGGGGGATAACACCTCAGCTACCAAAATAGATGTGGATGTTTTAATTAATACCATCCACAACACTTTACTTATATGGTTCCTCCACTAACAGACTTGTCTTTTTTGCCAAATTGTTCCAAAAGATATAAAAGAAGGGAAATGTTTTGAAGGGAGATTGTTTCTGGGACACAAATGAATGTATATAAAAGTCCTAAACTTAGAGTTTTTTTTATAAGTTTTCATATAAAACAAAATAAACTTATAGTATCATACATTGTTTTTAATCAGAAAACTTTTTTTGAATAAAGTTTTAGCTTATAAAATTGTGTGTTACAATTTTATCATTTTGTATAGATCTCAATAAAGGCCCAATTTTCTTTTTATATTGTAAAGTATACAATGAGAATAGACATTAGCAAGCTATAATCTCCTCAAACCCTTCTATAGCTATTACAAAATGTTCATTTTTAAAAAAATTATAAAACTTTTAAGCTTTCTGAATTATATAAAGTAATGCTAAGAAGTGATGACTAATTAGAGCTAAATATTGTCATTCTCTCCCTAAAAATCTCTTTATAGTAGCAAAATCACAACCGTCGATTTCATATATAAAAGTGTAACACAAATTTTTAATGGTCTTTAGTTAGGTAGAACCTGGCCTATACAAAGACCAAGCAAACGATAGAATCAGCAGGATTTTTCACGATCTCAGGCAAGAGAGGTGTCTATGGCAATCCATTTGCAAATGTTCAATGGAAGTTTCTCGCAAATGCCGTCTTAAACGCTGCTTTACACCGAGTCATGCAGATTCCGCGCGGCTATTTATAATCCAAATTTATTCTCTTATGTTGCCATTAGGATCAACCTTAGGCTTTTACGGCCCAAGGAACAGGATAATGGTACACCAACTGTCCAAAGCCGAGCGCAGGACAAAACCTTGACACAATTCTGGAGAAAAAATGGATGCCGTGCCATCAAATATCTACAAAATTACTAAACTTACTTGCGTCATTGGAAATAATCGAGTTGCAGCGCCACAGCCAATCATGGAAAGCACACGAACTTGATGCCATAAGAATGCGTTTCCTCCGTCGTGCATATTTCCAGGACACCATCCTAGAACTCATAAATCTGAAAGATCTCGAATAAGTGAGCTTACGGGGTTTATTTCATCGCCATCTGGAGTGATATTCAAACGGTAGATCATGAAATCACGAGTGAAGGTACCTGTTTGAATATCTCCTCATCGCGACTCTTGTGACAGTGAATCTAACCAGTGTCATCCAGAGCTCTCCTTTCGATTGCAAATACAGTGCAACAACGTTAACCTGCAAGCAAACAAGTGAGCAGCAAAGTTCTCGAACTGGAAAAATGTAATTTGAACTTCCCTCTAACCCTAAATCTAAAAGTATGTTCTTATTTAGTACAAAGGATATTCGCGTACGAATAGCATTCAAGTACAACACGAAGTATCGCATGCCTCCTCCCGGATCTTGGCCTCTCGACCAGCGGCGCCACTGCCAATTCGATCCCCAGAACGGAACACAAAGTAGCCCACGCCCAATCCCACCACGATGCTCACAAACACGCCCCCATTGAAGGACATGGCGGCGAGCATGAGCAGCAACCCAAGGGCCGAATTCACCACAAACAGGATGGATTCCACCGCCCGGTGCAACCATCCATCGATGGAGCTCGGGGGAGGCTCCGTGCAATCGCCCATCAGGGGCTTGCGCAACCCACCTGGCGATTTCGACGCCTGGATGAGCAAGATCCTGCGGGAGACGACATACTCGTTGAAGAGGGCCGCCAGGAAGAGCGCCGCGAGGGAGAGAATGTAGCCCAGCCATGTCTTTGTGATCCAGCCATCGAAGAGAATCGTGGCATTTTTGCTCCAGTAGAAGGTCATGTGCATCATCTTGTCGAGCTTGGGCTTGACCTAGAGCACTGATCGCAAGCTCGAGTCTTCTTTACAACAACACGCAAGAGGGAACAAGGAAGAATTCTTATTCTTTAAAAATTCCCAAGTTCCGTGTTCTTTCATGCAAGAAGTGGGCATCTTTCATCATGGCCATTTTGCAGACTCTCGCTTTCGGGATTTTCTTGACTCCGTCAACTTTTTCCGTCGTATAAGAACCCATGCGATATGGATGATCTTCAAGTGTTTCGCAATGGGAGCAACATTCCAGCTTGGTTTTCTCGTGCTTTTTCTTGTGGCAAATGCTTGGCCTCAGGATGATGGTGATGGAGAGATCGCTGCTGATGCTGGGATTAGTTCTTGTCCCAGTGAAACCGAAGAGAATGTGATTTACTACAACACCGGAGAGAGCTCCGAAGATAGTCCATTCGAGAAGAACTTGGCATCGGCTTATGAATCCCTGCTATCTCCATCTCAGGAATCTCCCCGGCAGGCCCAAGTTGGGGACGATCCAGACACCGTCTATGGCTACGCTACATGTTTCGAGGGAAATTGTGAGGATTGTCTCGCCACTTGCAAGAACTACTTCACACAAGTTGCTCCTCACGCAGTTGGAGCGAGACTATGCCTGAAAAGTGGCTCTGATGCTTGCTATCTTCGCTATGAAAACTATAGTTTCTAGATGAAAACAACACATATATGAACAAAGTTGGATATCTTTAACATAACATTTGTTCTCGGAGTGTTCTGTGTGATTTTGTGGTACCAGCAAGCACGACATGTGAGATGAATCGCAATCAAAGTCCCTCTGGCCAAGACATGATCGATACATACCACCAAACTCTTTTCCAGCATTGGCAGGTTCTTGTCCCCTCACAAACACTAAACATCGATGCATCTCTATCTCAATCTCGGCCTCTCGAGATAACTTGAGATGAAGTTGACAAGATCTCGTCTAGTGGCTGACGTGATTCCTCCACTAGAAGAATGGACAAAAGCTGAGCTACAGCAGCTTTAAGGAACATGGTCCGATCGAAACAAGACAAATCGCCTCAGACCCAAAGGAAAGAACGCAAAGTTGGCAAGAACTTGCTTAAAACCATGATCTTTGAATTTACACAAAGAAGAGAAGATCTAAGATCGTTCTAAGTTTATGGAGTCTTCCAGAGCCAGGAGAAGTGCTTGAGCAGCCCCCCAGCTCTGTGCTTGGTGGACATGGAGCAATCACACTGAAGAACCATCACCATCGTGGACAGGCCACCAGCCTCGAGGAAGGAATCCTCCACTGCGTGAGAACCCACCGAGTGGTGGCACACGATTAGCGCCCAGGCGATGAAAGTGCCATGCTCGGTGGCTTGTGTGGAGATCTTGAGCACGCAGCCCAGGATTGCTGGCACCGCTCTCGCGTGATCCACCGCCAGAGCTTCTCTCCCCTCGGCGCAGCAACACAGCGTCCTGAGGAGCTCCAGACTTTGCTGCTTGATCACCGCCGTGGGCTGCTGCTCGAGGAGGAGATCGATCAGGAGCTTTGGAGATCCGCATTCGATCGCCCGGAGCTTGAGCTTGGTCGGCTGAGTGGCGAGGAGGACCAGCAGGGACTTGAGAAGCGGCGATGCTTGATCACCGGTGGTGTTCTTGGCGAGGAGCCACACCAGCCCTTGGATGAGCGCATCGAGGCCGTCGATATCTCGCATTTGGCGATGGTCGTGAGCCGAGAGTGATGATAGAAGAGTTTCCAAGAGGCTGGCGGCGTTTGTTCTCACCGTTTTGCTGCTGCTGGTGAGTAGTCTGGCAAATCTCTTTAGAGAATCGAAGCACGCAGCAAATGCCCTTCTTGTGAATTTTGCGTCGAGCTTACAGAGCGTGTGTAAAATCGAGAGGGCTGCCGCTTGATCTTCCTCCTGGATGGCCCTCTCCGCTAAGACGGTCGCGAACAGAGCTTCCAGGAACTCGTCGTGATCGCCCACTCTCTCCCAGATGGAATCACCGCTGGGGAGCTTGCTCAATGCAAGCAAGAAGCTCGAGTCCAGGAGCTCGGCTATGGCTACGCTACTCGTATCGATTTCTCTGCAAAGTACCTCTTCCAAGCTGATGATCGCCTCCTCGTTGCTGCTACTGCTCCACGATTTGATGAGCTGCTTGAGAGTGGAGTTTGGGATGAGCTCGCATGAACCGAGAGCTTGGCGCGTGACTGGACAAGCCCTGTTGCCATCCAGCAGCCACTTTTGGATGCTGGAGCGCTCATACGTGATCCCGGAGCTCAGGATCACGGGATCCTCCATGAGCTCGAACGAGATTGGGCAGCGAAAGTATGGGGGGATCTCCGCATTCTTCACAGGTAGTCTCATGGATGATCGATCAATCAGATATGCAAAAAGATGCAACTTTGGGAGGAGAAAAAGCCTTCATACCCTGAGGATAGCAACAACTTTTCTTCTAGATCAAAAGCAGCAAGGATTATCTGTTGATTGACAAGAGAGGATTCGGAGCTCTAGTTTAAAAGATTCCATGAGAGCAATGAAAAGAAGTGGCTATGGAGTGAAAGGAGTAGCCTTTGGTATACCTAGTATTTTCCAATATTGCTGCTTTACCAACCTGCTTTTAGGCATATGGCCCCAAACAGAATTGTCAAGGCTTGGCTTTGAAAGTTGAGCCATCTCATTTTTCAAGAAAAAACAGAGAGTAAAAATGCTAAAATATAAAACAAAAACAGAGAAAAACAAAAAACATCCTTTTCTGATGAGCCAGTTTCAAATCTTTAGGAGGCACTGGAAACTCATTCCACAGCAGCCATTCCTTGTTAAAGTGCAGAAGAACTTGCTCAGTTTTCGCCTTCATTTTCTGCACTCAATCCCTGCGTGCACTTTCGTTTTCACCTCCGAAACTGGTTGTTTCTCAGATTGACCGGTCAGAGCGTGTGTATCAAGTGTGAAATGGGCTTTGTATTCTGGTCAAACTGGACAGTGTAGTGCAGGAAAAAACTATAGTATAGCAAAAGTATATAGCAGTAGTATGTGTGAAGCTATATACGCTGGAATCGACCGACCACGCGTGTTCCTACTACTGTAACTATGTCGCCCCCTCGCAAAACACGCTCGCAGCATTTCCCCGGTTCTTCCACACATACATTGTCAGGGGTTGACTAGAGGTAGTGCCCAAAGAGAAAAAAAAGAGAGAAATAATGGTATGGTCGTGCACCGCGAAATAGTCCCAGGAAGACCGCGCGTTTTTCTTGGCGTGCTCGGTGCGACTTTGGGCTATGGCTGGTTGGCTGGTAGATTTGGAGGTTTTCTTTTTCGCTCTTCTTCCTTCCGTTTTTTGTTCATTGTCAAACCAACTTTACACGGTCTTTCTTTTTATAAAGACGCGGTCGATGCAGCGTTTTCTTTCTTACCAAGTTTTTGGAGTTCTCTGTAGAGATCCCAGGGCGATCGCGGTTGTGGATCAGGAAGACTTGGATCTGGAGATATCACACAGAGTTCCTTGTAAAATTCTCCCGCGGTCGGCAGAGGCGATGAGGAGCACCAGAGTCCTGGCTTTGATCCTTGTGATGGGTTTATACTGCTCGGGCTTCATCCAAGTGGCTGTTTCGGCAAGATTGGTTGTCGCAGAGAAGCAGCAGGAGAGCAACGATCATGGAAAAGACCAGGCTGGTGATCATCCAGCAGCAGCGGTGGAATGGATTCACAAATCTCCTAGCAGCAGCCATGTCTTGCATTCGTCCAATGGAAGAGTGTTTAGCCTCTCGCTCAACAGGATGCCAAAGAAGGTGACTCCACCGTCGGGGCCGTCCAAATGCCACAACGCGATTTCCACGGCCCGGGCTTCCACCATGGCAAATTGCAGGAACTAACACCAGTGGATTCCACTCATTTTTCCTTTCTTTTTTTTGGGTGGGGAGCTTAGATCAACATTGTTAGATAGTCCATTCTTTTCGGCGATTTGGAGGCCAGTGTAGAGAAAAGGCTAGACACAGACACTCACACTTGTTTTCTTGTCTATAAGAAAGTTTTGTTCTCATGAAAACTTGTATAGAAAACGATCCAAAGCGCTTTGGAGCCAACATGTTTTGACACAAGATTTGGAATCGACAAACCGGCGGCAATTTCTGCTTAGTTGTAACCCAACATCAAATCAATCAAACATCACCAAGAAAAATCTAAACAAAAGAATGAGTGAGTGACCCTCCGATTTGTCAAAAAATGGCGGCTCTGAGAATATTGCGTCAATCATGAGACCGGATTGTCAATGGTCAAAGACCACGTGTCACCGACGTGGCCGAGTAGAAACGCTAGAGAACTCGTAAAAGTCAACCAGCCGAGAACGTAAGTGTGTGTCGATGGATTTCGAAGATCTCCACGCGACTATCAAGATCAAGCGGCCTGATCTCCACACAATAGAGTTTTCGATTATCCACAAAGCACTGCGCGGAGATTCCAGCCCGTGGTTCGCATCTCTATATAACACATGGGCTGCCTGTTTCCTCCCAGCGAAGTTTCTGGCTGGCTAGCGAGAGATTCACCGCCATCATCAGGCTTGGAAAGTTCGGGCCGCAGCTTGAATCGTATAAATCCATGCTTCCACCCCGTGCTTTTGATTTCCAGGCCGAGGATCATGTACATGGCTTGTAGAAGAGCTGCAGGTGTTTTCGTGATCCTGGCGGCGATGGTTTTCCTGGATTGTTGCGGGGCATCGAGGCTTTTAATCGCTGGTGCTGGTGTTGGAGAGTTGTCACAAGGATCATCAAGAGTCTCAAGCCCATCTTTGCATCTGGAGCAACACACGCTCCCAAAGAGAATACCAGTTCCTCCATCGGGTCCTTCTAGATGCCACAACAGTCTCTCGGCGCGATTCAAAGTTAAGCGTCCAGGGCCATGCCAGTGACGATCTCCAGTCTCTCACAAACTCTCACAAAAAAAAGCCATTCTTTCCATATTTTTAAATGTTAATAGCAATTATTATTGTACTAAAGCATATACTTATAAATTATAAACACAACAAAGCTATAGTTGTCCTTTTTACTGTGAGATATATTTGATTAAGCCCATAGTGGCGTATTAACTGTAATATGCCTGGTAGATGAGCGACAAGGCCATCTTTTCTAGCATTGTTATGCTCGCAAACCCCTTGGTTGGATGTCTCCCAAGTTTATAATTGCGTCGGGATCGCGAAACTCTCGCCCGGATAGGATCCACCCCTTCGTGCTTTTGATCTTCTCTCGACAGCCCAATGAAGTCTCGCATCGAGCACAAGCGATGCATGATCCGCCGCTGTTCTTCTTTCTTTCTAACGAGAAGATTTTGTCTCGTCTCGGGGCCTGGGACATGGACGCTGAGAGCCTGGTACCATAATGATTTTAAGAAGCACATTAGTCCAAGCAAAGCTTCCCGACCTGGTCGTGACTGGCAGCAGCAATCCAGTGTGCCTGCCATTTAAGTCTGTGGTGTATAGAATAAGTGTACGTGCTGGCTGGATCTGTCCCGGCGCTGCACTCCAGAGTGAGTCATCACAAGGTATGTAATCTAGCATTTTTTTCCTAGAGATAAGAACTTACATCCACTTGGAAGAGCTTCGCACGCAAAGCATATAACGCGAGGAGACACTCCAATGCCATCTGTGACCGTGTTGGAGTTGAACACTTCAAAAGGTTGTGTTGGAAAAAACATCGAAATGCTACAGCAACATGACGGAAGGCTGGCGTTAAAACACAAACGAAACGACCAACAGACCGGCAGTAAAGCAAGGCGAAAAACCATAGAAAAGAGAAAACGAAAAGGGAGGAGATCAAAAGTCTAAAAGCAAGTGAAAAAAAAAGGAAAAAAGAAGAGGAAGCGGTACCCGTTTGGACAATGCCGGTTCCCGTACCGCACCAGTCGGTGATGTCCCACGCGCAGCGATCGATCTCAACTAAAAACAGTGAATCAACTCATTACCAGGCAATACTAAGCAGCCTAGAAACGAAAGACTTACCAGTTTCCGTGATGTGATGGAACATAAAACACCGACTGTCGTCGTCCACTGTTGAATCCTAGCAGTCATAATAGAATAAGTAGCAAAAGTCGGCTCGGCTCGGCTCTAAGAAAATTAAATCTGAAAAAAAAGAAAAGAAAAAAGAGATGAAGAACCAAGACGAGTGGAAGGGTCATATACCTCTGAACGAAGCTTCACAAAAATGCACTTTTTTGTGAGATTGAACGAAGCTCTACAGTAGGATCCCCTCGCTTTTGCTGGACGCACAGATACTATCCCTTGTGAAGTGGGCCGGGGAGGAGCTCCTTTCTTACAAAATCCCGTGTCCGATGGCCCTGTGTCCAAACTCTCCTCGTTAGACAAATAAGCTTTCGAGTAAAAGGATAACTCACCTACTTCTCGCACCATACTTTACACTCCGTTTTCCCTCTCTTTCGGCTGAACAGCTTAATTTGGTCGCGTCTGAGTCGAGCAAGCGAAAGGGAAACCTGTGAGGCCGCGACTTGTGTTGATAGAAATCCACACATCTCCCCCCATCTCCATCACAGCTTTCTTTTCTCTTTGCTTGTTGCTTTCCTTCGCTCACTCGCAATCCCACCTCATCTTCCAGCCAGCGAGAGAGAGCCTCTGTCTGTCTCGGAAGTACTCGCAGCTAGCTACGCTTTCCTTCTTTGATTGATTGAGAGCTCTTCTCCGCGAGTGCGTGCTTGTTCACCGAAGTAAAGGTTCCCTCTTCCGTCTTGTCCAGCTTCCAAGCTTTCATGCAATTATTTGCCACCGGCGCCACCACTTCTCGCTAGTCCCAGCTTCATTCTTTCTCGTTGCGTGTCGAGGCTACTCTGAAGATATTCTTGCTGCCCGGCATATGATCGCATCACCACCATGGAAGCAGCTACCGACAGAAAGAAGATGACGATCGTCGTGTTGAATTTCATCCTGCTGGGACTTCTCGCCGAGAATGCTTTGTGTGCCAGGTATGGAGTAGCAGGAATTCCAGCGGCTTCTCCCTCTGCCTCTGCTCTTTCCCATGTTCCGTCTAAGGTCCAGTCTCAATTCTTCACAGTTCCCGCAAAGAAAGAGGCCGATCCAGCATTGCTTTCCGAGCAGAGAATGATCCACAATATGCTTCCCCGAGTTCTCACCACTCCACCTTCTGGTCCCAGCAGAGGAGGAAACGATATCGGTCTACAGTCCACCACGGCCCAGGATAGTGCACCTTAAGCAGCTAGAACCGGGATATATCTCCATGCATATAAAGGCAGCGAGTATGATATCGAGTCACGTCCTCGGTTTGTCTGTCTTCGTAAATGATCGTCCGATGATGGTGATCAGTAGTACCGCGGGAACATCCAGCAGGTTTCTCGAGGGACCCCTAGAAAAAGAGGAACAGCTGCTGCACCAGGAAAAATTTTGTAAGGAGGAGATTGAAGTTTTTTTAATCATAGAGAGCTTACTGTTAGCAGAGATTGTTCATGTACATTTCCCAATGTCTTGGTTCTTTTTTTGATTCCTATCGTAAACCTGAAAAAAACACAAGTCAGACCAAAGCATAGGTGGTAATCAGTGTAAAACACTGACCGTTCTCCATTCAAACAGCACCAACATGGGACTTTAATCACCAGTTTTTGTCTCCAATCCCGGCAGCAACCATCGCTGGCCGGATCTCTTTCGTAAAAGAAAGCCGCAGACTTTGAAAACTTAAGAACCTGTTTGAATAAAACACTGCAGAGCAGAATAAGAAGTCCAAGATCACATGCTTCACATGCATTCATAACGCACAAATCCATCACAGTCAAAGCTCAAATCCCCCGAAAAAAAGAAGAGAAACCAGAAGTTTTAGTTTGCAGTTAAGAAACTTGTAGTTAGCACCGAGCTAAAACCACAAAATTGCACGAAAACACGACCTCCTATAGCTTAGCGTTAAGAAAGCACGGGAGTCTAGGTAGTTACACAACAGCATAGTGTACATTACCAGCAGATCCAAACCCGTTATCAAGCTTTTATTAGCCTTCATACAGCAGCCGGTTGATGTGGTCGACCACCTCGTCGAAACTGTCCACCTCGGTAGCCACCTCTGTAGCCTCCCCGACCACGAGACCTCAAAAAAGCGTCCCCGAAAGTCTATCAATCAAAGAAACCGAGTGAGAACCCAAACCAAGCACTGACACTCGACTAACCTCAGTGTTGATCTTACGTTGCTCTGAAAACCTGGGGCGCTCGGTACCACCCTCACGATCCAGAGTGTCACAGGAGAGAGAATCGAAAAAGTCATCCTTGACATATACCGGCTGAATGCAAAGCTTTATCAGAAATGTGATCCATAATGTGAAAGCGTCATTCGTACCTTTTTCCCGTCCTCCGGTTTCTGCCAGTTCTCGCTCACAGGCTCGTCCTCTCCGTTCCTTGGTTCAACCTTTCCTCCAAGCTCACCCCAAACCTCGTCCTTGTTGAACTTTTCATTCATCGCCATGAAATCAAAGTCCTCCGTAAAGTTCGTACGTTGAGAAGGCTGTCCATGATATCAAAATAAATACCACAAGAAAGAAGAAAAGCTCGAGTAAACATACCCCACGACCCCTTCCGCCGCGCCTTCCATTTCCTCGCCAGTTATACCTTCCGTTGTACTCGTGCCTTTGACCATCGTGCCTCGGACCCTCGTGCCTCAAGTTCTCTGGCCTAGGCCCGTTGTTAGCCTGCCAAAACCACGTAAGTATGCCAAGACTTTGACAAAACTCTACTCGCACCTGCTGCTCCTTGGAATGAGATGATGACTCTTGCAGAGAGTTTTCGGCAGGTTGTAACTTCGATGGCTCCACCCCTTCCACTGGCGGTTGCTCGAGTGGAGTGGGAGTGTTCTTCTTCAGCTCTTGAGAGGAATCCAATGGTGCCTGAGAAACAGACGGCAGCCGTGGGAGCTTGGCGATCGGTGTCAATATCGCCGTCATTCCAACCGAGGAAGTAGTCTCGCGGGGCTTCTCCGTCTCCGGCGGACCTGTTGGATGTGTCGAGCTCGGCTGACTAACTTGAGGCGGTGGCCGCTGGTCAGGAGGTAAGAGCGGCTGCGATGGCAAATACGGTGGCTGCATTGCGTTTCCGCTAGGTGGTGGATAGTATCCCGGCCAGTAGAGTGCGTTTCCGACGGGCGGAGGTGGACGAGGACCCCATGCACCCAAGCCGACTGCTGGCGGATATGACGAGCTGAGAAAACCCGGTGGTAGCAGCGCCTGTGAGTCACGCGGTGGTGGCATTCCCACTGCAGGATGGGGAATTGCTGGAGCGTGCGAGAACCCCGCTGGAACTTGAGGTGGTGGAACACCTCCGCTTGGAGGCTGTGGCATTCCTATCGGTGGAGCCATAATGGGTTGAGACATTCGTTGCGCTTTCTGGGGCTGCTGAGACTGAAAGAAAACAAAACTTGACAGCTTAGTACCTCGTATCATCACAGCATGAAAGCCTCACCTGAGCAATGATCGCCGGATCGTTGTAAGGCTGCGAATGGACCGCATGAGCTTGCGGAGAAGATTTCACCTGTAAATCCTGGAAAGGAAAGAGGCACAAAAAAAGATAGAAACAATTCAGAGAGGAAACAATGAAACCACGGAAGAAATCCATACCTTGATGTCCGACCCACGAAAAATAATGTAGTCATAGACGCTATCCCTGGGAGGAATCTGCGGCCCTTCCTTCTTCCTCCCTTCGGTTCCATACGAACGAACTGGAAACAAAGCAAGAGCGCACGGATTCGTGAGCTCCCGAGCTCCAACCCTAGCGAAACATCGCCATAGCCTACCGTTTTGGAGCGCGATGTTGCAGTTCTCGGCGTCGATGGTGTAGAGCACGCCCTCGTAGCGGATGTCGCTCTTGGATGTGAGGCTGATGAGGCTTCCAATGTAGGAATCGAAGTTGGCACTACCTTTGCTGCTGTCGCCCCCGGGCGCCACGGCGCTAGCGTCCCCCATCCCGCTCACAAAGACGAAGAACCCTAGTGTTGCTTAACAGCTTAAATGCTACCTCTCAATGCGGTAAAAATTTCAAGGCAAAAAAAAAAAAAAACTATGGGAGACCTTACAACTTAGAACTCTTCTTCGCGCTCGACGATGATTCTCTTCTCTACTGTTTCGGCGATTACACAGAGAAAACTATCAATAGCGTTTCTACCACTTGTACAGGAACTCTACGCGAGTTCTTCCTCTTCTTGGAGCTCGCTCGAGTTCTTTTTCTTCGAGCTCTAGGCGTGTTCTTCTTCTTCTTCAAGCTCGCTACCGAAGTAAGTGTCGAGGAGGTGATTCGCCATGTTTCTCAGCTCATCGTTCTCGTGGAAGTGGAGCATCTCAATCGCCAGCATTCCATCGCAAGCTTCCACGAGCTTTGTGCCGTTTTGGAGGCAGCGCATCACCTGTGAGGAGGAAGAACAAAGAGCTTCGTGTCAGCGAAGGAAGAAAATGGTTGATCCACTTACCAGTTCCAGGAACTGGAGGCCGAGTTTCGATCCCTCCGGGTCGGGCGACTTCACCAGATTGACGAACTCGGCAACACAGCCGGATTGGGCGAGCGCCGAGAGATGAGCGTGGATGGGCTGTGACGCTGTCTGTGCTGCTGTTGCTTCTTTCGGCATCACGCAGAGGTTTCCCAGCGCGTAGACGGCCTCCTTCTTCACGTCGAAGCTGGCTGTCGCGAGCAGATTCACCAGCGGACCACAGGCTACAGGGAAGACGTGCTCTTTGTGCTGCATGGATCCAGCAGCTAAGTTGGAGATCACCCACGCAGCTTCCTGTTTTGAGTGTGATGAGTGTTCATGAAAGAAGACCAAAAGTCTACCTTCTGCAACGCTCTATGATTCGTCTGTAAGCAGCGGACAAGCGCTCCAACAACACCACCTGGAAGATATCTCTCGGGAAAAGCTCCTAGGATATAGAAAATATAATGTTACCAGGGACAGTGGAGCCAGCAGCAATCACGCCATCACTCATCTTGTTGTCTCCACAAACTATGTTCCCAATAACTCGTAGCACCTAAAACAAGATAGTGAGAAAACAAGCGACCAAGACCAAAAACTAACTTACAGGGGTAAGAACTGTTAGCTGGTTGGATGTTGCCAGCCACTCGACGAGAGGTCGAAGCAAAGTAGCGTTAATCAGCTGCTTAGTATCAGCGAGAGCACTGATATAGACGAGGACCCACGCCGTCTCCGCAACCAAATCTTCATCCCTGGAATATAAACAATCAAAAGTGTATCAAACCAAAAACTATGATCATCTTACTTTGAATGCAAGTGTTGAACGAGACCTGGCAGAATGCCATCGATGCTAAGCAAATCCGAAGCACCTTTCGTGCTTGGACCCTGCAAGGAGCGCATGAAAAACTCATCAGAACGAAGTCAAGCGTTACACTACCTTGATGAGATTTGACAGAGCCCAGCAAGCAGTTCGTGCGACAGACGTTTTTTGAGACAAGGCCAATCGAGCAAGCGGCCGAAGAGATCCTTGAGCAAGAAGTATTTTTCTTATCTCCTCGCTGTCACCGGCAAAGTTTCCCAAAGCCCATGTACACTGCTCCGCAACAAGAAGAGAGCTATTTTCTGGAAAGAAAAACGTCGTCATACACACGAAAGAAAAAAAAACGCAGATACCTCCAAGATGAGCAATGAGAAGAGGAACGGGCATTAGCAAATCTTCTTGCTGCTGGACATCCTCTACAGCGATGTTTGTCAAACACCAAGCAGCTTCGAGCAGCTTGGAGAAAGAAGAAAAACAAACTTAGCAGCAAAACAGAAGAAAATGGTAGAGCACTTACCTGTTCTTCGCTTGATCCAAATTTCAGGCACTCCACAAGCACTGGGATGAGACCAGCTTCCACAGCAACGCTCACTGGCGGCAAAGAGCTGCACGAAAGAAATCGCCTCACCTTCTTGAGAGCTTCTAGCTTCCGATGAGAAGCTCCCTTGGAGCTAAGCAGCTGCTAGCATTAGTCCCAAGCATTCCAAGCAAAAACTAAGAAACTTACATGTCTTGGCTAGCGCTGACTAGCTCCGCCACTGCCGATTTCACGTCATTCTCCAAGGCGATCCTCGAATCCTCGTCGCCCTCGCAGTACATTTCCATCCCATCCTCCTCGTCTTGGCTCCTGCGCATTCGCTTGGCTCGCACGGCAGCATCCCGGCGCTCTTTGCTCAGCGCGACCGCCAATTTGCGCCGCCTCTGCCCAGCTCCACTCGCGACTGCTTGAAACAATGAGGCGAGACTGGAAATGGAGGAGATCGAGATCTTACCCGATGGCTTGAAGCGATCGCGACGAGCGGGGCTCACAGCATCCATCTTGCTCGCTTATTTAGGGTTTAAGAGGAATTCTAGGGTTCTTGTCATTTAGGCGCCATTTACAAGCTCTTCGATTTCTTTCTCCGTGTCGCTGCCCTGCATTTGATCATAGTCGTCCAGATCTTGGTAGCACGCCAGAAGGATCTTTGCGATCTCGGTGTCGATGCAAGCTTCTTCCAGATCGGAGTCGGCTATGGATTCCAAATCGCCTGCGCGAAGCAAGAAATTGGTAAATTTTTGCTCTAGAGGTATGTTCCAGCACCTTGAGGCATTTGTGACTGTGTGAGAATGCCGCTAGCTTCCTGCGAAGAAATCTGTAAGCTGGATTGTTCTTCAGATTTCTAGTAACGCTGTGGATTTTTTTCTTTATTTCTTGAGGAACTTATAGTTTACTGTTTGGAAATTATGCTACTTTGTGAGAAACTTACTTGAGCTCGCTCTTCTTCATCCAGTTGTGGAGGATCCGTTCGAGCTTTTCTACCAAGAACAACTCCCACAGCTGCTGCAAGCTTTTCAGCGTGAACAGCATTACCAGTGTTTTGGACGACGACTTCCAGCGCTTCCGCTGCTTTCGGAATGAGGTCAGTCGCTATACTATCACCCTCTTGCTTTTGATGATCATTTCTCTCACTTCTGAGTTTGTTCTTCCCAGCACTGGTGCCGCTAGATTCGTCACCACTGCTGCTAAGCAAAGCACTACCATCACCATCGTCTACGTCCTCACCAGGTAACGAAACTACGCTTTCTCTTGCATTCTCGTTCTCTAACGTTTGCTTGGTCAGGATCCCGGAGTTTTTCGCAATAAGTAGCTTCAACTGTGCCAGATCCAGCGCCTCCAAAGAATTACCAGCGGTCGAGAGCTTGTCCATTTCGCTCTTGGAGACGCCACAACCCATCAGTTGCCAGCCGGGGTCATCGAGTCAGGTGTTCCAATCGATCAAATATTACGAGGCTGGCACCAAAAGCGACCTCTCCTCTCTCTTTTCCTTAAAGACGGGGAGGAGGGAGTGACCATCAAAATTCATGGCGCACTGCTGTGAGGGACGAGGTCGGTGATTCCTACTTCTCTGGTTTAACAAACTTCTTCCACCTTCACAGGCCCAAGCGGCTCTCACGTTTCACGCATGACTTCTGCAAGCACTGATCTGTTGCAGTTTGTTGAAAGAGACGTCATCGGGGCCGTCGGATGCCCGCCAACGGACGGCTGCTGTTCACGCAAAACTTAAGAAAAACGGGAGAGCAAGGCAGTTGTCACTCTCTTGGGACTCGCGGATCATCCAGGTGAGTGCGCAAAAAAGAGGACAAAATTGTTTTGGGAGGCGTTTGTTTCTTGAAACGCTTGGTGGTGGTGATTTTCTCGCTTGGCGATTCGCGCTTGATTGATTGCGGGCATTCATTTTTCTCTTTTCTTCTTGCTGCTAGTACTTGGCTTCCATTTGCTCTGTACTTTACTTTTTGTTGCACTGTGGTGCATTTGTTTTTTTCCTGTTGGATCTCTCGGAGTTAATGCTGCCAATTTCCAGCTCTCCTGCTCCAGAAGGCAGATTAAAAGCCGAGAAACCAAGGGGAGAAATCTACGCCCAGGTTCATGTCAGATTTTGATATCCAAATTCCTGGCGCCTTCGGTGAGTGAGCCTTTTGCAGCGCTCTCAAACGATTTACTAACTATTCTCCATGCAGCAGACCCGTTCGCAGAAGCGAATGTTGATGACCAAGGAGCGGGGTCCAAAGAATACGTTCATGTTCGCATCCAGCAGAGGAATGGGCGCAAGAGCTTGACCACCGTCCAGGGCCTCAAGAAAGAGTTCAACTACAACAAGATACTCAAAGACTTCAAGCGAGTGAGAGCCCTTCTTTTCCTCTTTCCTTTTCGAGTGATCTACTTAAGAGCCTTCAAGTGAACTGGTTTTACTGTCTCAGGAATTTTGCTGTAACGGGACAGTTGTGGACGACACAGAGCTAGGACAGGTTTGTTTTTTTGCTTGTGTGTGGTTGCTGTTGCACGGATTCTGGCACTGAGAAGAAGTCGTACGTTTTGATTTTTTTTTCTCCTTTTTTTGCAGGTGATCCAGCTCCAGGGCGACCAGCGAAAAAATGTCTCCCAGTTCCTGGTACAGGTCTGTCTAGTAGCGTAGCAGTCCTATCGCTGAAAGTAATAAATTTTGTGCTGCTGAGAGCTCATAAGTTTCTCGACGTGGTTCCTTTTCAGGCTGGCGTTGCCAAGAAGGACCAGATCAAGATACATGGTTTCTAGGAGGAGAGAGGACGTGCGATTATTTTTGCTCCCCCAAGGAAGGATAGAGGAGAGATAAGTATTTTTTCTTGGGTTGGATTTAATAAGGTGAGAGCTTGAAGGAGATCTAGACAAGAGTCTTCACAGCACGACGAAGATCGATGCGATGTTTTCTCGTCGCAGTTAAGAAGCGCGCTCTCTATTGACGGCTACGCAGATCAATGGATTCGTCTTCGTGCTTGGATGAGAAATCGATGCAGAGACAAGGAAGACCATGGGAAGGAAGCACAAGACATGTTTAAGCGTTCTTCTCAAAGCCAGAGCGAGCAAGCAAGGGCTTTGAGGTGTGTGTAGAGTTATGAGGCTTCACTCAAGTTAAACTATGGATGTTTGTTTCTCGCTCGTATGTGTGTACACACGACTACGTATCTTTTCGGAGTTTCGAGGGAATCTCTACGATTGGAAAAAGCAGATGTGTGTTCTTTCTGTGTGAGAAGATCTCTTTAATTTGAATCAAAGCGTGGGTATAAAGGTTTGCTTTTTGCTCCCTCCATCCACCAGCTTTTGGTTTCCAAAAATTTTTGCTCGTTATCTTTTGATTCGAAAAAAAAATCATTCCAAAACCTTGTAAAGAACTTTAGGCTCAGTGGAGATGATAAAGGTGGCAAACAATGCCCCATCTAGAGAATATCATACCATGATATCTAAGAAGTTGTCAACAAAATGATTGTCCAAGAAATGCTATTACCCATATGGTAATAAGATCTATATCTACCTGGCCAGTTGGTGGCCAGGGTGGCCCACGTTGGGCCAGTTGTGGCCACCGAATTACCCGGGTTATTTTTTTGAAAAATCCGCCAAAAGGATGGGACATCCATGCGCATGCGAATGCCCGGATGTGCGCATGCGCATCCATGCCCATCATGTGGGATTAAACATTAAACCGGTTAAACACACCACTAGAACCGCCCACGTTTAACCGAAAGGGTTAAGTTAATCTGGTAGCTTAGCTTAAGCAACCCTTTAGCTCTAGCTCGAGCTCCAATGTAGGCAGAGGGAGGACGAGGTCTTGCGCGGTGTCACTGCGCGTTTTGTTTCCAGCGCTTGTGTTCTTCCGCCGATCATTCCCTCGTCGCCGCGGCAGCGCGGGAGGATCCTGGCAGGGCTAGGGCTGCCGGGAATCCGATCGCAAGAAGCAGCGCTGCTCTCCGCAGATTATCTCGAGCGGCGCCAAGCAGATAGGGCCAAGGATCTCCACAAAGCTGCCGCCGCTGAGGTACCGCTGCGCGATTGACTGGATTAGAGCGTGGTGTGTGTCGGCATTGGCATTTCCAGGTGTGTGTGGGGTGCGTGTGATCGATAATCTTGTGATTTGAGGCGTTTTCTTGCAACTCCCTCCCTCTCTCTCTCGCACGCGCACACGATTCTTGGGTTTTTTTTCTCTTTTTTTTCTCTGCTCGAGCAGTGTAACATGTGACTGCTCTCACAGCTCACAAGAAAGCCAAAAAACGGTGATGGTCACAAATTTCGTCCGCGGGAGAGCACTCTCACAGGATAAAAAAGAGGGCTTCTTTTCTACTGCTGCTCGTCATGGGTCGCGGCATTTGGGTGTTGGCCAGGTGCTCCCAGGTGAGAGTCTCCTCCTCGTGAGTTTTTTTCGTTTCTTATCTATGGTTTTTATCGTTGTTTACTTGTCTTTGGATCCCGAGGCTGGGTCTTGGTCTTTTCTGTGATTTCTGCTAGAGATTGAAGGTTCCTGTGTGAGCTTGCTCGGAAGAATTCGCTTCTTTTGCTTGTGAGCTTTTGGAAAAGACTGTTTTTTGCATGCATGCTTGTTGGTTGTTTAGCTGCTTTTCTTTTCGATATATAGTTCGTTGTTCTAAATCTTGTCTCCTTGTTTTGTATCACAGAAGTAGCAGCCTCTTTCGATGCACAGTGATCGTAGACCCACCAAGAAGAACAGCAACGCGAGGCTGGTACTAGTAGCGCAGGGAAATCGCCAAAATCTCAAGAAGGAACAGGCTGACGAAGAGTCAAAAGGAGAGAAGGCTACCAATCTTTCCTTGCCAATGACAATGGCGGATTTACTCACGCACCGGCATTTCTCTCCAGATATCTTGGAGTCCGATGCTTACAGCATTTCGGGTCTCTCGCCGCCGCTCTTTGTTTCGGATCACAACACCACCGATTCGGAAGAAGGGTCCCGGTCAGACTCGGGTGTAGTTTCTTCTTCGCCGGTCAATCTTCCCGCTACTCACACCACAGCAAGAGCGGCCACTGACGGCATGCATTTGTCGCTGGAGTTTGAAGATCTGGTGATACGTCGGGAGAAGATGAGGCTCCGCGGCGAGCAGCTCGCAGGTGGAGAAGGCGAAGAGGAAGCTAACAGGGAAGAGCTCTCTATGTTGGCTCTGGTGCTGGACACGCTGAGAAGATCCTTGCTAACATGCAAGGCTTCCGAGGAGGAGGTTGCGTCCATGGATATTGGCTGGCCTACCAACGTCCGGCATGTAACGCACGTCACATTTGACAGGTTCAATGGCTTTCTCGGCTTGCCGGTGGAGTTTGAGATCGAGATCCCCCGAAGAGTTCCCAGTGCAAGGTTCGTTCCTGGCGTTTGTTTTAGCTGTTTACTTATGCTGTTTTGTTTTGTTTTTTTTTTCTCGTGTATCAGTGCCAGTGTTTTTGGTGTCTCTCCAGAGTCGATGCAATGCTCTTATGATTCCAAAGGCAACAGCGTTCCGACCATTTTGCTGCTCATGCAGGAAAGGCTTTACAGCCAGGGGGGCCTTAAGGTCTGTGATTCTTTGTTTTCCTCTTCTCTTGACGTGAGTCTTTGTCGGTGTCCAGGCGGAAGGAATTTTCAGAATAAACGCCGAAAACAGCCACGAAGAAATCGTACGGGAGCAGCTCAACCGTGGGATCGTCCCACACGATATTGATCTTCACTGTCTAGCTGGTCTCATCAAGGTATGAAAACAGCACGCACTTCCGTTAGTCTGAAACTATAAAGGCTCTGTCTCAGGCATGGTTCCGTGAGCTTCCTAAGGGGGTCCTCGACACTTTAACGCCCGAGCAAGTGATGCAGTGCCACAACGAGGAGCAATGTGTTGAGCTCGTGAAGTTGCTGCCTCCGACGCAAGCAGCTCTTCTAGACTGGGCGCTGAATCTCATGGCCGACGTCGCCCAGGAGGAGGCGTCAAACAAGATGAACTCCCGGAACATCGCAATGGTTTTTGCTCCCAACATGACTCAGGTACGTTCCTCTTTCATTTGGTGCTTGGTTTTTGTTTTCTTTTCTGTAATGTATTTCCTTTTGCTGTCCCAGATGGCGGATCCACTAACAGCACTCATGCACGCTGTACAAGTGATGAACATTCTAAAGACGCTGATTGTGAGGACACTACGGGACAGGCAAGAGGCTGTGCTCGATCCAGGCCCTGCACCGTCTTTGCCGAGTAACAAGGACGAAGATGACGACCAGCAGCACTGTGGGAGTGGACTGATTGACAAGGCAACTTCGGCAGAAGAAGAGTACGATGACTACAGGCAACACCAACAACAGCAGCAGGAGCAAGAGGAGCTGGATCAAAATCACCGTCACCACCATCTTCACAATCACCATCAGCAGCAGCAACAGGTGATGATGCTCCACGCGAAGCAAAAGAAAATCCGGTCTGCCGCGCCGAGGCTGCTCAACAGAATAGACAAGCAAAGCGAGAGGGCCGAAGCCTGGTAAGAACAAACTTTTGCTCGTTCTTACCATCGCTTTGCACAGATTGTTGTACCATAGCTAGCCAGTCGATCGCCAACAGCCGTTTGTAAAATAATCTGGCTGCTCGCTCGGTTCTCTCGAGTCTAACTTTAGTACCTTTTTTTCTCCTTATAAAACTTACATTTTGGTTTTGCAAAGCCAGAGTTCTAGGAAGACGAAAGAGAGAAGAAGAAGAAGAAGATAATGGCGGACGAGCGAGAGTGGCTGGACGCTTGCTTGTTTTTGAGCAAAGGGCCATCGTTGGCGATGGAGTTTCTGGACGAGGAAGCTCGCGTGATGCTGTGGGCTTACTGGGAGCAAGCTCTGGAGGGTCCGGCGGAGGAGCTCTCGCAGGAACAGGGGATGAGTGATGAGAGGGCGAGGAAGCGGAGGGAGGCGAGGAGGAGGCTGGGAGAGATGCCCAAGTCGGAGGCGAGGAGAAAATTGGTGGGGTTGATGTCGAGTGTGGTTCCCGAGTGGCGAGAGTGGTGTAGAGAGCATGGCGAGAGGATCCGGGAGGAGCAAAGGAGTGGCGGCGAGGCGCAAAAGCTGCTGAGAGCGTTTAGCTTGAAAACCGGGATTAAATTGTCGCCTAAGTTGTGAATCACTCTCAGCTAAACGTGACAAAGTAAAACTTGTTAAGAACCCTAAAATCTATTTATTTATGAATGTCAAGACAAAGTTTAAAACAAGGGTAATTTTATGTGATTTGCACATGCCTCCTATGCATCATTTATATTGTTATCGTGTGATTTATTGTTAATTTGAAATGATTAATTTAAAATGGATTAAAGTGTGCAAAAGTGATTTTTCCTTACATATTTTTTTAAAAAATTTAATCTAAGTAAATAATCTTACAAAATTATTAAAAATTTATAAAGGGTATATCAATTATTTTTTTGGATATTAGGACAAAAATAATGTACTTTATGAGTGCAATAAGATAGTGATTTATCTGTTTCACAAAATTAATTAGGATTGTTTTCAAAAGTTACTTACAGAACTGAAATTTGAAAATTTCTTTACTTTATGATTTTTTGGTGAAGATGGAAAAACTTTAATTTTTAAAGTATTTCTAAAATACAAGTAACATATTTATTTTCGTTTAAACTATAAACTAGTATTGAAATAAATTTGTACTAGGGTCAAATTAAATTATTTGGTCATAACCTTGTAGTTTAAACAAAAAAAAAATTAATTGTATTTTAACAACACCTAAAAAATCAAACCTTCTTTGTCTTCATTAAGAAATCTTTAAACTTTAGTTCATCAAACAAAATTTTAAAATATTTCTAATTAACTCTCTCACAAAAATAAATTAGTGTCTCACTGCATATATAATAAATGCTATTTTGTTATCCCAATATTTATAAAAGTGAACTGATTTATCTTTACTTAAAATCTAAAAAACAATCAATTTAATTAAAAGATCTTACCAAATAGTTAAAATTTTATAAAGTGTACATCAATTCTTTTTGTGAATAGTAGGACAAAAAAATAATATACTTTATGTATGTAGTGAAGTGATGATTTATCCGTCTAGGAGAATTAATTATGAATGTTTTCAAAGCTTACTAACATAAATGAAATATGAAAATTATTTTACTCTATGACTTTTTTGTGAAGAAGAAGAAGCTTTAATTTTTAAAGTATTCATAAAACATAAGAAACATTTTTATTTTCATTTAAATTATAAGTTTATGTAAAAACATATAGTGACCAGTTAAGTTATTTGAACATAAACTTCTAGGTTGGATAAAAAAAATAAGTTAATTGTGTTTTAACAACACTATAAACATTATGGTTTTTTTATCCTCACAAATATATCTTCAAATAAATTTTTAAGCTTTAGTGCGTCAATCAAATATTTAAAATATTTCTAATTAACTCTTTCACATAAATAAATTAGTGTCTCACCACTCATATAATAAATATTATTTTGTTATCCCAATATTATAAACGGGAACTGATTTTTCTTTACTTAATGTATTTTTAAAATTTGATTTACTTAAAAGATCTAAAGTTTAAATCAATTCTTTTTTGAATATTAAAACAACAAAATTAATGTATTTTATGTGTATAGTGAGATGGTGATCTATATGTATGAGAAAATTAATTAAAAATGTTTCAATGTTTAGCGAACTAAAATTTTAAAATTCTTTTACTCTATAATTTTTTAATAAAGATGGAGAAATTTTTATACACACACTATAATGTGTATGTTATAATCTTCATTGTATTTATGATCATCACTTTACTTGCCATGTGGTCAAATAAAATCATGAGGTAGAAATAAGTGTCAAATGTGAATTTTTTTTTTTTCATCACAAATTTTTTGTATATGGTGAGCAAAGCAAACTCAACGAGAGCACTTGATAAAAAAATAGGGGAAGAAGAGAATGCCGATATAAGAATGTTGTGGGATTATTGAATCTCAACAGCAATGCTAAAATAGGCTCAAGCTACGCAAGGTAAAAATCTTAGCAATCTATCATGATGAAGAAGTTTTAATTTTTAAAATATTCATAAAACATAAGTATATTTTATTTTTGTTTAAAAGTATAAATTTATGTTAGCATCTTTTACATATGCAAAAGCATATAGTGACCAGTTATTGAACACAAACTTATAGTTTGAACAAAAATAATAAGTTGATTATATTTTACTAATACTTTAAAAATCAAAGTTTCTTTGTTTTTACCAAAAAAATTTAGAGTAAAGAAGTTTTCTTTAGTTCATTAAGCAAACTTTCAAAATATTTTTAATTAACTATTTCACAAATAAATTAGTGTCTCTCTACACATATAACAGATACTATTTTGTTATCCTAATATTTATAAAAGAGAACTGAGTTCTTTTTACTTAAATTTCTTATAAAAACAATATTTAATTAAAAAATCTAAAGTCAAAACGTTTCAAAAGTTTGTTTAGCGAACTAAAGTTTGAGGATTTTTGTACTCTAATTTTTTGGTCAAAATAGAAAAGTTTTAATACACACACTATAGTGTGTATATTGTAATTTTCATTATATTTATAATTATCACTCACTTTGCCACGTGGTTAAATGTAAGCTCCTATATTTGGACTTCTCCATAGATCACCCAACTCAGTACTATTCACACCTAAGGACACTTAACCCTAAATATCCCAAGATCCTTAATCAATTGGAAAAGGAGACACATTTTTGTTTAGGGGTCTTTTCCTTTTATATTTGAACTTTTATGTTGTTTCTCAAATCGTTTTCTTTAGTTATTTATAATGTACTACGCTGCCCTGCCATATGTTAATCTCAACATATGGTGTGATTCCTTTAAGCTAATCTACCATGCTTCCTTGCCAGATGTCAATCTCAACATGTGGTGTGATTCCTTTAAGCTAATCAATAAAGTCTGACCCATACCAAATATAAGCTCTTGAATTTGAACTTCTCGGAAGGTCACCCAACCCAATATTATTCAAACCTAAAGACACTTAACCCTAAATATCCCAATACTATTAACCGATTGAAAAAAAGAGTGTTTTTTTTTTCATGGCCCTTTCCTTTTATATTTGAACCTTAAGTTATTCCTTTTAGGTGCTTACAATAAGTTTAAAACTTGAATATTTATTTTTTTATTACTTGCATTTGTAAGGGTTTTTTATGTGTGGCACACAAAGTTAGATCAATAAAAGCACTTGACAAAAAAAAAGGGAAGAAGAGAATGCCAAGGTAAAAGTGTTATGAAATTACCAAGTTTCAATTGTAGCGCCAGGACAAATTCAAGCTATACAAAGTAGAAATTTCAACAATTTCTTCTTGATCATGTTAAAATATTTCTCTCTCACTCTCAATATCTCTCTCACACTAGCAATACATACACAATCACACACTACCTTACTTCTTGTTCTTTACTTTTTCATCTCCATTGACATTTTATTTACCTTAAGGAAAGCAGTTTAATAACTAAGCCTAAAAGAAGTAATTTAAATTATTTGCCCTTAAAGAAAGCTTTTGAACTAATGTTTAAATTGCTATATTACGACACGTGTCGCGCCTATATAGGCTTTTCTCTCCACATCTACCATGTCCGTGCGTCACGCCCTCTACTTCCACGGTACACGCCGGCCTCGACTACCGCGACGCCGAGGTCGCCCGCGGCGGCATTTACCTCGTGCCCAGCGCCCCCATCATCGAGGCCGAGTACCGCGCGCTCGTCGCCTGCCTCCACACCGCCTCCCACCTCCGCGTCTCAATCCTCCGCGTCTATGGCGACTCCCAGCTCGTTGTCAACCCGGCGGAGTGGTACGCCCGGAGCCCTCTCACGCAGGCCCGGGCGATTAGCCGCGAGAGATTTATGGATACAATGGCGAGCCTGCGCTCTTCTGCCGCACCGGTAGCACTCGCGTGTTTTGATTCGACTCATGCTAGGAATGTAGCTGTCGGCAGCGCCTTGGATCGCGCAGCTCGGAATCGCCAGTTCTTGGTGGCGCCGGGGCGGATTCCATCGGATTTGCCAGGAAATCTGTGGGCAGGGGCTATGTCTTGGACGTCCATCCACTCTGCTACCGCGGGAGCAAGCCGGATTCCAGCGAGTTTTTGTGGTGGATGAGAGCGTTTCTTCGCAGGATTGTGCTTGCCGATCCAGTGATTGCTGTAAGTCTCGTTTTGTTGTTGCTGGATTGGATGAAATGCGAGTGTGTAGCGCAGGTTTTCGATGGCGAATTTGGGAATGACTATAGGAGAAAAATTCTTCCTTCTTACAAGGCTGGAAGGAGGAAATTCAAGCCTCTAGATCCGAGCTTCAAATGGACAAGAGGTTTAGAGGCGAGTTTCTCTCGTTTCCAACGCTTTCTTCGACAGTGTAACATACCTGTAAGTCCTCGATCTTTCATTTTTCCTTTTTCCATGAGCTAAAACTCGAAGTTCTTTGCTGACAGGTTGTGAAAGTTGATAATGCTGAAGCGGACGACGTCGTTACGACACTAGCTCGGCAAGTTACCGACAGGAGTTTGAAGGCAGTCATTGCATCCCCGGATAAAGATTTCAAGCAGCTGGTTTCGGAAGAAGGTCTAGCTGCTGATTCCGTTCGCGGATCTACGAAGGTGGTCATTTTACACTGTCAAGGATTACGTTGAACAACACAAATGCGAGCCTGGGATTGAATTGGGACTTCGTAAGCATCCAGTTTCGTAAGTTTGGCTGATTATTCCAAAAAAAATTCTTTCCTAGGATGCTTGCTAGGGGATGCTGCTGATGGTGTTCCCGGTGTGCCTGGTTTTGGACGGAAAACAGCTCTGAAACTTATGAGGAAGCACGGCTCGCTAGAAAATCTATCAAGTGTAGCGGCAATTGGAAGCCATACATACAAGATGCTCTCAAGCGATCTTGCTGCATTCCAATGGCTGGAGAAGGAACTTGAAACGTTGTAGGTTTTTTAGCAGCAGTGAACTGATCAGGCTCGAGGTATGAAAAATATGAGCTCGCTTTATCATTTCCTACTTGATGGTAACAAAGGTTGGTCCACTTTTGCAGAAACCTCGGGGTCTTTCAAATGAGGATGCTCTTGCAGTATACAGGAGAATGCAATGAAACCAGCCATTGGCATTGTTGTTGGTGCTCTCAAGGTATGTAGAAGCACGAGAGATCTACAACTAGGCAGGAGAATTCACAGGGATGTTTCCGAGACATGTGACTTCTCAAAAATTTTCATCGCTAACATCCTGCTCGATCTGTATGCAAAATGCGGAACCATGATAGATGCTCGTGGCGCATTTGACAGCATGCCGCATCGCGATGTGGTCTCCTGGAATTCGATCATACAGGGCTATGCACAGAGGGGAAACGGTGAAATGGCTCTACAGTTGTTTGCTGGGATGGAAGACGAAGGGTACGAACCGGATCGAGTATCAGTTCTTGGTGCTCTCAAGGCTTGTTCAGCTCTTGATTTCCCGCGAGCAAACCTGCAGTTAGACTCCATTCCATGACGACAGTGCCAGAACGGGTTCTCGACGTCACTGCCGCTCTCATCGTCCAAGAACTCTTCTTCCTCTTGCTTAATGTAGCGGTCGTCCCAGAGGTTTCAGGTGCACATTTGTATCTTATGCCACAGAAGAAAACGCAGAAAAAATCAAGAGCTTGATAGAGAAGGATTCCGGGCAGGCGATGGGTGGTATGCTTAGAGAGGAGCAGGGAGATTCACAGGAGCTTTGCTTAGATTCGGATCTCGCGATCTTTACGCAAAACGTGGGAGCTTGACAGAGGCTCGTCAAGTTTTCGAGCCATCGTAGTGTGGTGACATGGAATTCATGGTGACATGATTGTCGGGTATGCAGCAGCGGCGAGTGGTGAGCTCTCGATATCTATGATCGAATGCGTCGTGGAGCGGCTCCACCGGATGCTTTAACTTTCATCACTGCGCTGAAAGCTTGTTGCCGTCTCGCGAACGAGGAACTTGGGACAGTGAAGAAGGAAGCTTAAGAAGTGCATAGGTAGCAAGAAAATCCACTTCTCCAGTGTCGCCGCAGCTCGTCTCGATTCCCAGAACGGACCAGCAGCCGCGGCGAGAAACGAAGCGCATTTGGGACGACTGTGAGGCGCCATTGCCAGGGATTGGCAAGAGCATAGCTCGCAAAACCATAGGCTATAATTTTTTAGTTCATAGAGTGTCAATTGCCAATAAAACAGTTGGTTTAGTGCATGATGGGATAAGCAATTGAATGAAGAAAGCAATGGGAAGAAGGACTATCCGTACACTTTAGCGCCTCGTGCAATAGCATCCTGGATCCTTCCATTGATGGCGCCCTGGGTCTCCTTCCAACACCACCGGGCTTTACGCCAATCTGGTTTAACCTCCCAATCTGTAGATTCAAGCACCTCACCATCCTTCGAAACCTAGAACAAGAAGAAACACCAGTTCATGTTTTCAATCCTCTTGTGCCCAACTGAAAAGCATAAGTTCAAGTGTGCTCTTAGTGTAAAAGAACGGATGAATGACATTACCTTCTGCACATTGGAAAACATATACTGGTTCCTCTCAGCATCCTCGGCATCATCAAGTATTACTGCAGTGCAACGCACGCCCTCTTCATCTGCGGGGTAAAATCTCCCCCCAGTCATGGTAAATCCATCGCCAAAATCCTTAGGACTCATGATCAGCGGGAAATAATCCCTCTCTGTGACCGGATCATGGACCATACTCTCCCCAAATGTGAAATCCGCCACGTATTCCTGGCCTATGCGCCTCAGCATCCCACGCACAGCCTCCTCGTCCATGCTCGCTTTACGATAAAATGTTAAGAACCCTAAAACCTCAAAATCAAAGTTTTAGGATCAAGCTTGTGGAACACGATGGTTTATGCATATGCCCATTTCTAAGAACAAACTTTTGCTCGTTCTTACCTTCGCTTTGCACCGATTGTTGTACCATAGCTAGCCAGCCGGTTGCAAACAGGTTTCTCATAGAACTTACATTTTGTGTTTGCAAAGCCGACTGAGAGTGGCTGGATGCTTGTTTTTTTGTGAGCAAAGGGCCACGATCTACATAAACACTCGGGAAACAAACTGAAAGAGCAAGCCCACCAAATTTCTCCTTGCCATCCCTTGTTCCTACGAGAGCTCCTCCGCCAGCAGAAGAGAGAATATATGCTCTAGAATAACATCCAAGCATATAGTTATGTACAAGAAAATCATGAGCTGGTATCATGAAATGTGGTAATCCCCAAGTCAAAATCGTGATATTTTGTTACTATCTAGGCAAACTTTTTTGTTTTAAATTTCAAATGAACGAATATACTTCAACTTGAGATGCCACACAGCCGGCCATAATTTACCAAATTCAAATGAATTAACATGCCAGCTGAGCAATTTACATGTAATTTGGAATGTGATTCCTTATTATACAAAAAATTACCATGGATTCAAATAAGTTACCATGCAATGCCAACCGAGCGGCTTACATGTAATTCCTCACGATAAAGAAAATTACCATGGATTCAAATGAATACCATGGGATGCCAACCAGGTATAGTTTAGAATGTGATTCCTCACTATAAATCAAATTACCATGGATTCAAATAAGTTACCATTTTAAATTTTCCCATTGTGTCATGAAACTGGGAGATTAAAAAACTTGCTATAACCTTCTTGGCAATGATGGAAAGGGATGTTTGCAGTTGGTCATCTTGATAGATCCATTCAAGCCTTTCTAAAGATGCCTTAACGCCATTGGGATTCCTCAAAACAAAAAGAGGAATGCTATGGCAATTGTAGCTGCACATGCTATGGATAGCCTGGAGTGTGTGGAGATCTGATCCAATGGATGCCATAACAATTTTTAGGGTTTGTCAGGCATAAATAAGGTTTTTGGTGCCATGGTGAAGATGAAAAAATAAAAAACAAAAGGTAAGGTAATAATATTTGTTAAGTATATAAAACCCTTTTAATCAAATTAAATTTCCTTCTGAGAAGTTCAGGCAAAAGAATTCACTTTTGCACACTTTAATCCACTAACAATACACACTTATAAAACAATCAAAATTTTACAAATTGTATATTAATTCACTTTCATAAATATTATGACAATAAAATAGCATCTCTTATATGTTATTAATGCCATGAGATAGTAATTTATCTGTGTGAGATAATTAGTTATAAATATTTTGAAAGTTTGCTTGACGAACTAAAGTTTGAAAAATTTTTTGCTCTAAGATTTATTGGTGAGGACAAAGAAGCTTTAAGTTTTAAAATGTTGCTACATCTCATTTTAGTTCAAATTATTAATATGTGTTCAAATAGTTTAATTGGTCACCATATGTAAAACTAATCACTATATGTTTTTACATATGTGATAGAGATTACATAAATTTGTTTGGATGCAATATTATAGTTTCAACAAAAAAAAAAAGTTGTTTGTATTTTAAAAATACTTTAAAAATTAAAACTCTTTCATCGTTACTAAAAAATCATAAAGTAAATAAATATTTAGACTTTAGTTCACTAAGTAAACTTTTGAAATGTTCTTAATTAATTTTTTCAGATAGATAGATCATCTCACTACACATATAAAGTATATTATTTTTTAATATTTATAAAAAGAATTGATATACAGTTTATAAAATTTTAACCATTTAGTAAGATCTTATAATTAGATCAAATTTCTTACTAGAAATTTAAGTAAAGAAAAGTCACTTTTTCATAAATATTATAACAGCAAAATAGCATCCTTTATATGTGTGGTGAGATAGTGTATGAGATAGTTAATTAAAAATATTTCGAAAATTTGCTTAACAAATTAAAGTTTTAAAATATGTTTTGCTCTAATATTTCTTGATGAGGACAAAAAAACTTAAAATATTAAAATGTTGCTAAAGCACAATCAACATCTCATTTTGTTCAAATTATAAACTTGTATTCAAATAGTTTAATTATTCACTATATGCTTTTGTATATGTGATAGAGATTAAGCCTTGAGGTTTCTAATATCCCTCAGTATAATAAGACATAAAGATGGGAGCTTTTAAATCTCAAGCCTTAAAACAAACTTGTTTATATACAACCTTATAATTTGAATGAAAATAAAATGTTGATTGTGTTTTATGAATATTTTAAAAATTAAAGTTTCTCCATTTTCAAAAAAAATCATGGAGTAAATAAATCTTTGAATTTTAGTTTACTAAAAAACCTTTTGAAATGTTACTAATTAATTATTTTAAATGACTAAATCATAATCTCACTGCACATATAAAGTATATTATTTTTGTTATCCTAATATTCACAAAAATAATTCATATATACTTTTTAAATTTTTAACCATTTGCTAAGTTCTTTTAATTAGATTGAATTTTTTTGGAAAATTTAAATAGAAAAAAATAATTTATTTTCATAAATATTATGATAAAAAATAACATCTTTTGTAATTTTCTTTATCATAAGGAATTACATGTAAGCTGCTCGACTGGCATTGCATGGTAACTTATTTAAATCCATGGTAGTTTGCTTTATAGTGAGGAATCACATTCTAAATTACATCTGGTTAGCATCCCATGGTAATTCATTTAAGAAAAATGAATTAGAAAAATTTTAAATTTTTTTATAAACTAATTTTTAAAGATATATTTACTCTAAATTATTTTTTTGAAAACGGAGAAGATTTTATTTTTAAAATATTCCTAAAACACAACTAACATTTTTATTTTCATTTAAACTAGAACTTTGAGATTACACAAATTTATTTTGGTATTTATCATATATGTAGAAGCATATAGTGAACAATTAAGTTATTTGAATGCAAACTTATAATTTAAAAAAAAAAAGAAATATTAATTGTGTTTTAACAACATTTTTAAAATTAAAGTTCTTTTGTCCTCACCAAAAAATCTTAGAGCAAAGAAGTATTTAAACTTTAATTTGTTAAATAAACTTTTAAAATATTTCTAATGAACTATCTTACACAGATAAATTACTATCTCACTAAACATAAAATGGATTCAAATGAATTACCATGGGATGCCAACCAAGTGAAATATAATTCCTCCCAATAAGGCAAACTATTATGGATTCAAATCAATTACCATGTGATGCCAACAAAGCTTTTAGTAGAATGTCCTCATGCTAAAGCAAATTACCATAGGTATAAATTTCAAAACCAAGAATATTCCTTTCTTGGAGCGGGAGTTTAGAGAGAGAGAGAGAGAGAGAGAGAGCGAGCGAGCGACAACGACAACGACAATGCCGACGAAGAAAGACATGGAGGAGGGGCGGAACATCAGGAGGGGAAGCGCTTCACCGCAAAGGCACCAGCACGAGAGATCTTTAGTGTCAAAGCACGGAGGATGGAAAAGGAAGCTTGAAAGCGAGGCGTTCCACCAGGTTTGTCAAGATTTCTTGATCGATTCTCCGATACATTGTGATTTTCAGTCCTCGCCCCTGGCCTGCCGCAGCCAGCCGCTCCAGCTGCTGATTGAGCGATTCACAATGGATGGATCGATGCGTCTTTGTTTTAAATTTAGGGTTTTGGCGATGGCATCGCTTAACGGCGTCCATGGCGTCTTTGTTTTAAATTTAGGGTTTTGGCGATGGCATCGCTTCACGGCGTGAAGCTCTCGGGATTGCGCGCTTGAAAACGATCGGCCTCGAGTGCCGGAATAGCTGCTCAGCGACACTGTGTTTTTTTTTCTAACTCGAAGCTTTGGTTTCTTCCTTTTTCTTCTGGTGCCTTGGGCTTATTCCACGATGGCTCCACCTCCACAAGTCTCTCAGTCTCCCGGCATTAAGTGTTTCTAACGCAGTGCCAGTGTATGTCCAGCATAAGCAGGGCTGTGCGCTCCTACTGCTAAACCATTTTCGCGCACTGAACAACATTTCACTGCTGACTTACGATCGGGTATGAAAGTCTTGTTAACATTTAAGGCTCCTTTTTCTTATAAACAGGATCTTTCAGAGTGGTGGAAATTCCAAAAGTGGGAAGCTTGCCTAGACCTGGACAAATGGAGCCGTTTGTCTGTGTAAGTGTCAAGCTCGATTTTTATGTTATTGTCTTTCTGCTGACATATTTTACGACCATACGAGGGTTATGCATTCGCAAACAATGTGCCTGTTCCCGAAGTTGAGGTACGTAAGATCTCAGTTTACTCAACTGATAAATGTAAACCAGACGGTCCATCCACTGAAGACTAGGAGGTATACTTGAGATTTTATGGCGAATGTTTTTGAAACATCTCCTTGTTCTTTTCTGTGCAGGCTTCTCTCAAAGGCACACGGAAGTACTCGGGCCTTTTAAAAGGAGTCTGCTGCGAATGGCAAAGCTGCTGAAGGACAGACAATGCTGGCGTGCTTTTCAGTAGCCGCGCAACATCCCACCGGCTTAACGACAGCTTTGTTTCTTACAAGGATGAGGAGAGTGGTTCCCCCTGCATTGGCAGCGAGCGAAAGAAACTTACATGGTGAATGTGCAGGTTATCTGGGAGGATGTCTTTTTCAAGCCGTCACCCGTCTCCTTCGATCTAATAGGCGTCGCAAAGTTGGACCTTTAGATTGTTGCGTCAACTTGCTTGCGGGATAGAGCGTCTTCTTTCTGTACCATCTCTTGGATCAAGGCAGGGCGCGCTGCTGGTTCACAACTCTCTACTAAGCATTGAGGGAGAACCGTGCTGGCCTTCCACCGTCCATAGTGACAGGCGATACTTTTGACGATGCTAAAGGGGTCATGACATCTGAAAGGGTATAAATTCCCCTTGTATGATTGTGTAAGGTTAGGGTTTGATGGTAAAAGCTTTTGGAAGGTTGGTTGGAGACTTTGGGCTTGAAAGGAAAATCAATATTTTTTGGGACTCTGGTTTACTTTGTGATGCTATTTCTCAAAAGTTGGTGGATGAATTCAATATTTCTGTGGACAGTAATTCACAGGTTAAGGACTTTAAGTTTATGGTGGAGGATTGTGAGTTGAAAAGGACTCTGACTGTATTACCTGTGATTCTCTGTCACGATATAATTTTGGGTTCGCCTTGGATGCATCAACACTGCTTAGAATTAGACACTAGTGGTTCCATAAGCACTTTAACTTTTGAGATTGATGATACTATATATTGCCTCGGTAATTATAATTTATCGATGTCCAGAAAGTATAAGAAAATAAACTAGCATATATGTACTACTTTTCATCAGGTATATTATAGCGGGATAATTAATGGCCATAAAATCAGGATTGAATTAGATAATGGTTGTGAAATGTGTGCTATATCATTTGAACTTATCAAGAAACTTGGGCTTGAAGTAGTTCCTGATGAAAAGTATTTTGCAAAAAGGCTAGTTGCAAATGATCAGACAAAAGATGGTTATGGAGTTGAGAATTTATGTTATCACTTGGCAAACTTTTCAGAAAGTAGAAATTTTCTTGCTATAAAAGATCCTAGAGAGACCCTATTTCTTGGGATGGACTGGCTTCATAAGCACTCAGCAATAATTGACTACAGGAATCACGTTGTTACTTTTAAATCTAATGAATTAGATTGCTGGTATAGATTTCAATACCCATCTGGTACATATGAAATAAGTAAACATAAATTTACTGAAGAGATGAGTAGTTTATGTTGGTGCTCATTTTAATAAATACTTATTTGCTAATTTATGAGCTTGAAAAAATCTTTATAAATTTGATCTTGGATAAGTTTTGGATTGATTTTGTTTCTCGCATTCTTTACAAAGAGAGCAGAGGCTGGTGTGGTAAGCCAGAAACAACATTCTCACCCATGCCATTCACTCTTCTAGAAGAGCTAAATTGATTGATTCAAAAATAATCTTATGCCAAAGCTATAAATATATTTGATTTTTCAACAATAACATGATAATGGTATTTTTACACTTTTATAGTTCCTTTTACATCAATTGAGACATATGAACTTGTTTTCCCTATAAATCTTTACAATTGTGTTTTCGATCTTAATGCTGGCATATATCATCATTACTAGTAAAAAGAAATAAAAGCTCACTATTTGCCAAAAGCTCATACTCAAACTATTGATTACATTAGCCAAAAGAAATTATTAGATTTCTAAACAATAGAACATTAGAAAACATAAATGTACACAGTTTTTAGATATCCAAAGTCACTTCTTTATTAAAATTTTAATGCCCTTGCTTTGAGCTGCTTAAAAAAGCTTTCATTGCAACTCCAGTACCAAACCATAATACACTGGTCTGAAGCTTCATTTGCAGAGAAAATTCTTAAAGTTATTTGTAGCATCTTTGTAAGTTAAACTTTAAACTCTGAATTTGAGATTTTGGCTCGAAACCATAAAACGAAATCAGTATGTAGGCTAGAATTCTTTGTTCTTCATCTTAATTATACTTAAAGTGCCAAACATTTAAATTAGAATATATAGCTTATAATAATATTCTCAAGAATATTTTAGAATGGTGCTAATCTGATCTTAGCAGCCATGTCTATAGGCAAAGCTTCAATTTTTTTCCTTTATTAGCTAGTGCTATGAGAGATACCATGAAAATAAAGAACCCCTCAGGTAAGTCAAAGCTTTTGATAGGTCTGCGTAGTCACACTTTAAATAAGGCAGTGGTGTTCAAATCATCCAATGATCACCACCACATAGGCCCAAAGCTGCTGCACTGCTTGCATATACTTTTGAAAGGCAGCTTTCATCTCCTTATCTCACCAATCAAAGCACCACTAACTTAAGTTTTTACTGGAGAAGGAAATATCCATCCACTCTCAAGCTTAAAAAACTTTCCATAGAAAGGAGCTCTTTTGTTATGGGTACATTGCTAGCTTGTCTAGAATGACATGAAATTTACTTGGTGTTTTAAGAAAAGTACATTATAAACATGAAAAACAGAATTAAATTAGATGGTTAAATACACTAGAACATTCTAATATATTCTAGGCATATCTACAAGAATAAATTTAATTTAGTCATATAGTATTTTTACAAATAAATCAAAGTTGTAACAAGCTTACAACAAAAAAAACATTCTTGCCTATGCCATTCACTCCTCTGGAAGAGATAAGTTGATTGATTCAAAAACAGTCTTATGCCAAAGTTATATATATCTAATTTTCTTAATGAGATTGCTATATGAATGATACTTTGGAAAACTAATTTGATTAACATGATAATTACATTTTTACACTCTTATGCTCAGTTGAGACATATGATACTTTATAAAGCTCTGAAGTCCAATGTCACCAACTTTGGCAACTATATCAGAACTTAAAATATATTTGTTTTTTTATAATATTTCTATTAATTATCAATCTTGAGAGAATTTTAAATCTATACAAACTCTTTTACCCTCTAAAGCAATTTACACTTGTGTTTTCCATCTAAAGGTTGTCTGAAACCATAACAGAGGCACAAACCATCATTACTAGTAAAACGAAATAAATTTCATCATATAAGTGCTCTTGCAATGTTCTTTTTCTCATACACTAATTAATATAATATCAGACTATTTATTACAATACCCAGGAAAAGCTACTAGGTTTTGAAGCAATAGAATAAAAGTCACCTCTGTATTGAATTCTTAATACCCTTGCTTTGAGCTGTTTAATAAAGCTTTCACTGCAACTTCAATACCAAGCTATCATACATTGGTCTGAAACTTCATTTGTCAAGAAACTTTTTAAAATTATTTATGGCATTAATTACATCTTTGTAAGTGAAAGTTCTGTGTTTGGAGATTTTAGCTCTAACCATAAAATAAAATTAGTATATAGCTTACAAAACAATATGAACTTAAATTCTTTATTCTTCATTCAAAAAAACATGTGAAATCTAGAAATATATAAATTATAGTTTTAATTACCAAATCACTCCTATACCACAAATGATACTATAGCTTGTTAAAGAAATGACAAACATGATAAAGAGGTTTATATATAATTTATAAAAGAATAAAAATAATACTAGAAGATAAATATCTTTAAAAAAGCTTTAGAATTTAATGAATGTATTTAATTTTTAAACTATTCCTAAAACACAAGTAACATTTTATTTTCATTCAAATTATGGGATTGCATTTAAACAAATTTATATTAATCTATATCACATATGCAAAAGTGTAAAGTGACAAATTAAATTATTTGGACATAAACTTGTAGTTTGAAGAAAAATAATAAATTTATTGTGTTTTAACAACATTTTAAAAATCAAAACTTCTTTGTCCTCACCAAGAAATTTTAGAACAAAGAAATCTTTAAACTTTAGTTTATTAAGCAAACTTTTGAAATATTTTTAATTAACTTTTCAACACAAATAAATTAGTGTTTCATCACACATATAATAAATTCTATTTTGTTATCCCAATATTTATAAAAGGAAATTGATATTTTATTTACTTAAAATTTAAAAAAATTTAATTAATTAAAAAATCTCACCAACTATAAAGTGTAAGTAATCTAGATTTGTTGTTTGTATGGAAGGAAGATTGACACACTTATATGTGTGTATGCGTGAAGCCTACCAAAGTATTATTTTGTGATAAAAGATGGAGGTATGCTTCTGCTTAACAATGTGATGAAGCTAATTTTCTTTCTTTTGCAGACAGTGAAATTGAAATATAGAAAATTAATTAAAAGCGTATCAAAAATCTTTACTTTATGATTTTTAGTAAAGGGAGAAATTTTAATACACAAATTACAGTGTGTGTATTGTAATCTTTATTATATTTGTAATCATCACTTGCCTCACTATGTGGTTAGCTAAAATTGTAAAGTGGGAATAAGTTTAAAACATAAATATTTATTTTTTTATTTTTTTGTTATTTCGTCATAAATGTTTTTTATGTGTGGCAAGCAAAGTAAACTTAACAATAGCATTTGACAAAAAAAAGGGAGAGAAGAGGAAAATGTCAAAGTATGAGTGTCTTGGGATCACTGAATCTCAGTAATATATCAAAACAAATAAAAAACAAAAGTTTAAATTAGACAAAATAACTCTATTATTTATTTTGCATTTTCAATATATCTTTTACACTAAAAATACAAACATAATAAACAAATTACTTTACTTTTTGTTCTTTATTTTTTCATTTCCACCAACATTTTATTCACCCTATAGAAAGTAAAAGAAGTAATTTAATTTATTTGCCTTTAGAGAAAGCTTTTTAACTAATGTTTAAATTGCCCGTTGATGCATTACGACACGTGTCGCGCCAATTTCCACATCTACCATGTCCGTGCGTCACACCCTCTACTTCCACGGTACACGCCTCCCAATGGCTATACCGCCGGCCTCGAGTACTGCGACGCCGAGGTCGCCCATGGCGGCATTTACCTCGGGCCCAGCGCCCAAGCTCGCAGCTACGTGCGACACATCCGCAGCGCCATTGTATCCATAGCTGGGCACTCGCTCGATCGAGAAAGAGCTAAATCTCTCGCAGCTAATCGCCCGGGCCTAGGGCTCCGGGCGTACAACTCCGCCGAGACGTGGTTGATAACGAGCTGGGAGTCGCCATAGACGCGGAGGATGGTGGGAGGCGGTGTGGAGGCCGGCGACGAGCGCCCGGTTCGATGATGGCGCTCTTCTGCCGCACCGGTGGCACTCGCGTGTTTTGATTCGACTCTTGCTAGGAATGTAGCTGTCGGCAGCGCCTTGGATCGCGGAGCTCGGAATCGCCAGTTCTTGGTGGTGCCGGGGCGGATTCCATCGGATTTGCCAGGAAATCTGTGAGCAGGGTCTATGTCTTGGACGTCCATCCGCTCTGCTACTGCGGGAGCAAGCCGGATTCCAGCGAGTTTTTGTGGTGGATGAGAGCGTTTCTTCGCAGGATTGTGCTTGACGATCCAGTGATTGCTGTAAGTCTCGTTTTGTTGTTGCTGGATTGGATGAAATGCGATTGTGCAGCGCAGGTTTTCGATGGCGAATTTGGGAATGACTATAGGAGAAAACTTCTTCCTTCTTACAAGGCTGGAAGGAGGAAATTCAAGCCTCTAGATCCGAGCTTCAAATGGACAAGAGGCATAGTCCTTTCGGTAGACATACATGTTGAGGCTTTGCTTCTCGCTTTTCTGTGTAGTCCTTTTGGCAGAGATGAGTTTCTCTCGTTTCCAATGCTTTCTTCGACAGTGTAACATACCTGTAAGTCTTCGATCTTTCATTCTTCCTTTTTCCATGGCTAAAACTCGAAGTTCCTTGCTGACAGGTTGTGAAAGCTGATAATGCTGAAGCGGACGACGTCGTTGCGACACTAGCTCGGCAAGTTAACGACAGGAGTTTGAAAGCAGTCATTGCATCCCGGGATAAAGATTTCAAGCAGCTCGTTTCGGAAAACGTTGAGCTGCTGATTCCATTTGCGGATCTACGAAGGTGGTCATTTTACACTGTCAAGGATGACGTTGAACAACACAAATGCGAGCCTGGGATTGAATTGGGACATCGTAAGTATCCAGTTTCGTAAGTTTGGCTGATTATTCCTTCTTGTTTTTTTTTTCTTTCCAAGGATGCTTGCTAGGCGACGCTGCTGATGGTGTTCCCGGTGTGCCTGGTTTTGGACGGAAAACATCTCTGAAGCTTATGAGGAAGCACGGTTCGCTAGAAAATCTATTAAGTGCAGCGGCAATTCGGACTGTTGGGAAGCCATACATACAAGATGCTCTCAAGGAGCATTCCGTGTTGCTTGAGAAAAACTTGAAAGTTTTGTCCTTGCGCAGGTAACTGGCTATTCTTTTCTAGCATCCAGGTGATTTTCTTATTTCTTTTTCTTGCAGAGATATTAACGTAGAGCTACCAGTTGAGTGGTGCTTGTCGAGGGATAAGTCAAGCGATCTTGCTGCATTCGAATGGCTGGAGAAGGAACTTGAAACGTTGCAGGTTTTTTAGCAGCAGTGAACTGGTCAGGCTCGAGGTATGAAAAATATGAGCTCGCTTTATCATTTCCTACTAATAATCTGTCCTTGATGGAAACAAAGGTTGGTCCACTTTCGCAGAAACCTCGGTGTCTTTCAAATGAGGATGCTCTTGCAGTATCCAGGAGAATGCAATGAAACTAGCCATTGGCATTGTTGTTGGTGCTCTCAAGGTATGTAGAAGCACGAGAGATCTACAACTAGGCAGGAGAATTCACAGGGATGTTTCCGAGACAGGTGACTTCTCAAACATTATCATCGCCAACATCCAGCTCGATCTGTATGCAAAATGCAGAAGCATGGCGCATTTGACAGCATGCCGCATCGCGATGTGGTCTCCTGGAATTCGATCATACAGGGCTATGCACAGGTAAATGGCTCTACAGTTGTTTGCTGGGATGGAAGACGAAGGGTACAAACCGGATCTACAGTTGTTTGCTGGGATGGAAGACGAAGGGTACAAACCGGATCGAGTATCAGTTCTTGGTGCTCTCAAGGCTTGTTCAGCTCTTGATTCCCACGAGCAAAGCTGCAGTTAGACTCCAGTGCCAGAACGGTTCTCGACGTCACTGCCGCTTTCATCGTCCAAGAACTCTTCTTCCTTTTGCTTAATGTAGCGGTCGTCCCAGAGGTTGCAGGTGCACATTTGTATCTTATGCCACAGAAGAAAACGCAGAAAAAATCAAGAGCTTGATAGAGAGGATTCCGGGCAGGCTTTTGGTATGCTTAGGGAGATTCACGGGAAAGCAGCAAAGCTTGGCTTAGGTTCGGATCTCTTCGTCGCGAACGATCTTTACGCAAAATGTGGGAGCTTGACAGAGGCTCGTCCAGTTTTCGAAGGAATGAGCCATCGTAATGTGGTGACACGGAACTGCATGATTCTCGGGTATGCCAGCAGCGGCGAGTGGTGAAGCTCTCGATATCTATGATCGAATGCGTCGTGGAGCGGCTCCACCGGATGCTTTAACTTTCATCGCTGCGCTGAAAGCTTGTTGCCGTCTCGCGAACGAGGAACTTGGGACAGTTGTTCATGGTGAAGAAGTGATACGAAGCTTAAGAAGTGCATAGGTGGCAAGAAAATCCACTTCTCCAGTGTCGTCGCAGCTTTGGGACGACTGTGAGGCGCCATTGCCAAGGATTGGCAAGAGCATAGCTCGCAAAAACCATAGGCTATAATTTTTTAGTTCATAGAGTGTCAATTGCCAATAAAACAGTTGGTTTAGTGCATGATGGGATAAGTAATTGAATGAATAAAGCAATGGGAAGAAGGACTATCCGTACACTTTAGCGCCTCGTGCAATAGCATCCTGGATCCTTGCATTGATTGCGCCCTGGGTCTCCTTCCAACACCACCGGGCTTTACGCCAATCTGGTTTGACCTCCAATCTGTAGATTCAAGCACCTCACCATCCTTCGACACCTAGAACAAGAAGAAACACGAGTTCATGTTTTCAATCCTCTTGTGCCCAACTGAAAAGCATAAGTTCAAGTGTGCTCTTGGTGTAAACGAACGGATCAATGACATTACCTTCTGCACATTGGAAAACATATACTGGTTCCTCTCAGCATCCTCGGCATCATCAAGTATTACTGCAGTGCAATGCACGCCCTCTTCATCTGCGGGGTAAAATCTCCCCCCAGTCATGGTAAATCCATCGCCAAAATCCTTGGGACTCATGATCAGCGGGAAATAATCCCTCTCTGTGACCGGATCATGGACCATACTCTCCCCAAATGTGAAATCCACCACGTATTCCTGGCCCATCCGCACAGCCTTGCTCGCTTTACGATAAAATGTTAAGAACCCTAAAACCTCAAAATCAAAGTTTTAGGATCAAGCTTGTGGAACGCGATGGTTTATGCATATGCCCATTTCTGGTACTAAGAACAAACTTTTGCTCGTTCTTACCTTCGCTTTGCACAGATTGATGGCCAGCCGGTGGCGAACAGGTTTCTCGTAGAACTTACATTTTGGGTTTGCAAAGCCGACCGAGAGTGGCTGGACGCTTGGTTTTTTTTTTAGCAAAGGGCCACGGTCCGGCGGAGAAGCTCTCGTAGGAATAAGGGATGGCAAGGAGAAATTTGGTGGGCTTGCTCTTTCAGTTTGTTTCCCGAGTGTTTATGTAGAATATATGCTCTAGAATAGCATCTAAACATATAGTTATGTACGAGAAAATCATGAGCTGGTATTTCATGCTGACTTTTTCACATTAAATGTGGTAATCCCCAAGTCATAAGAGCATTGCATCGACTCTGGAGAGACACCGAAAACACTGGCACTGATACACGAGAAAAAAAAAAAAAAAACAAAACAGCATAAGTAAACAGCTAAAACAAACGCCAGGAACGAACCTTGCACTGGGAACTCTTTGGGGGATCTCGATCTCAAACTCCACTGGCAAGCCGAGAAAGCCATTGAACTTGTCAAATGTGACGGTTGTTACATGCCGGACGTTGGTAGGCCAGCCAATATCCATGGACGCAACCTCCTCTTCGGAAGCCTTGCATGTTAGCAAGGATCTTCTCAGCGTGTCCAGCACCAGAGCCAACATAGAGAGCTCTTCCCTGTTAGCTTCCTCTTCGCCTTCTCCACCTGCGAGCCGCTCGCTGCAGAGCCTCATCGTCTCCCGACGCATCACCAGATCTTCAAACTCCAGCGACAAATGCATGCCGTTAGTGGCCGCTCTTGCTGTGGTGTGAGTAGCGGGAAGATTGACCGGCGAAGAAGAAACTACACCCGAGTCTGACCGGGACCCTTCTTCCGAATCGGTGGTGTTGTGATCCTACACAAAGAGCGGTGGCGAGAGACCCGAAATGCTGTAAGCATTGGACTCCAAGATATCTGGAGAGAAATGCTGGTGCGTGAGTAAATCCACTATTGTTATTGGCAACGAAAGATTGGTAGCCTTCTCTCCTTTTGACTCTTCGTCAGCCTGTTCCTTCTTGAGATTTTGGCGATTTCTTTGTGCTACTAGTACCAGCCTCATGTTGCTCTTCTTCTTAGTAGGTCTACAATCATTGTGCATCGAAAAAGGCTGCTACTTCTGTAAGACAAAACAAGGAGACGAGATTTAGAACAATGAACTATATATCAAAAAGAAAAGCATGAACAAATAAACAATAATTTAAGGAACAAATAATCTTAATTTAAGGATCTTGCCAAAATTTATTGTATATAAATATTTTTTGTGGATATTAAAACAACAAAAATAATGTAGTGAGATGATGATCCATCCGAGAAAATTAATTAGGAAAATTTCAAAAGCTTGTTTAGTAAACTAAAGTATGAAATTTTTTTTACTCTATAAATTTTTAATGAAGATGAATTTTTTTTTAATTTCTTAAGTATTTTAAAATATAACTAACATCTTATTTTCGTTCAAACTACAACTTTAAGTCTACACAAGTTTATCTTGATCTCTATCACATATACAAAAACATTTAGTAACAATTAAGTTATTTAAATGCAAACTTATAGTTTGAAAAAAAGAAAAGATGTTGGTTGTGTTTTAGAAACATTTTAAAAATTAAAGCTTTTTATCTTCACCAAGAAATCTTAAAGCAAAAAATTTTTAAACTTTAATTCATCAAAAAAACTTTTGAAATATTTCTAATTAAATTTTTCATAAAAATAAATTATTATCTTACCACATATAAAAGGGATATTATTTTCTTGTCTCAATATATATAAAAGAAAATTGATCTCTACTTAAATTAAAATATCTTACCAAATGGTTAAAATTTTATAAAGTGTATATTAATTCATTTTGTGATTATTAGAACAAAAAAAATAATATACTTTATATGTGTAATGAGATGGTGATTTAGCTGTCTAAGAGAATTAATTAGGAAAATTTTAAAAGTATTTTTGTAAACTAATTTTTAAAGATTTTTTTACTCTATAAATTTTTTGTGAAAATGGAGAAGCTTTAATTTTTAAAGTATTTCTAAAACACAACTAACATTTTATTTTTATTTAAACTAGAAATTTGAGGCCACACAGGTTTATTTTGGTATCTATTATATATGCAAAAACATATAGTGAACAATTAAGTTATTTGAATGCAAAGTTATAGTTTGAAAAAAAAAAGATATTGGTTATATTTTGACAATATTTTAAAAATTAAAGCTTTTTTTTCCTCACCAAAAAATCTTAAAGCAAAGAAATTTTTAAACTTTAATTCGTTAAATAAACTTTCAAAATATTTCTCATTAACTATCTTACACAGATAAATTACTATCTCACCAAACATATAGAAGATGTTATTTTATTGTTCCAATATTTATGAAAATAAATTGATTTTTTTGTATTTAAATTTGCCAAAAAATTTTAATCTAATTAAAAGAACTTAAGAAATGGTTAAAATTTTATAAAGTGTATATGAATTCTTTTTATAGATATTAGGATAACAAAAATAATATACTTTATATGTGTAGTAAGATTATGTCACAAATGTGACTTCAGGTATCGAAAGATACGTGTCGGCCAGTCCTTACGGACACTTTTTCCTTATTACTATGACGGCAGGAGGTTAGTACAGTTGGGTCCCTTTATCGTTCCCTCTTGAGTTAGTTGAGAAACTGGTCAATGACCTTGCACTTAAATTAGATAAACATAAGGTAGGAACCCTATGTGTTTCTTGCTAAGCATACTTGGCCTGGTTTGAGAAACTCGTGTCATTGATTTGCATTTGCTAGTATTAAGAACCCCCACGATATTGAGACTAGTCCCTCAATATCGCCGAATGATAACTTACCGTGTATGCCAAACATGCTCGCTATTATGCCCTTTGTGTTAGTCTCATTTCGGTCTCAAATGTTATTTGTGGAAAGTGTCTAAATTTGCTCATTTGGCATATCTACAGAATGTAGAGGTCGGCCTGAACACAATGGTGTTCGTCTCATGTCCAAATTCACAATTTAGCGCCATTCCATATTTAATAAATTTCGAGTTTGTCTTAGAGACTAACTCCTGATACTAAGGGAGGCTTGGGGTGAAAGCCCAAAGCATGTGTCTTTCAAGGGGGGAGGGGGGGGGGGGGGGACACGCGGGCTTCTAAATGTATAGTAAGGATAGTGGTTGAAATGCATGTCTAACCATCTGAGATATTAGTTTGGCTCCCGTTGGGCTGTGTTGCTCCTTGTTTTACGTTCGGCTTAAGTCTAAGCCCAAGTTCTACACTACTCTAGTCGGTGGGGTACCTTCTTCCTCGCATTAGGCCACTGGTATGCCAAAATTGTGCCAGACTCCGTCTGACACCATTTTGCGTGCAGGTGCTAGATACGGGGAGCTGGTGCTCGTGGGATTGTACCGGACCTTCATTTCGTAGTGCAACGGGCTTGGAGTTCAGCTCCAAATTCATGTGCGCTATAGATTATGATCTAGCCATTTAAAATATTTAATTAGTAACATTTCAAAAGGTTTTTTAGTAAATTAATGTTTGAAGATTTATTTACTCTATGATTTTTTGTGAAAATAGAGAAATTTTAATTTTCACAATATTCATAAAACACAATCAACATTTTATTTTCATTCAAACTATAAGTTTGAATATAAACAAGTTTGTTTTAAGGCTTGGGATTTAGAAGGTCCCATGTTTAAGTTTTATTATATTAAGGGATATTAAGAACCTCAAGACTTAATCTCTATCATATATGTAAAAGAATATAGTGAACAATTAACTATTTGAATACAAATTTGTAATTTGAACAAAATGAGATGTTGATTGTGTTTTAGCAACATTTTAAAATTAAAAGTTTTTTTGTTCTCACCAAGAAATATTAGAGCAAAAAAAGTTTTAAAACTTTAATTCATCAAGCAAACTTTCGAAATATTTCTAATTAACTATCTCACACATTATCTCATCACACATATAAGGGATGCTATTTTGTTGTTATAATATTTATGAAAACAAAATGATTTTTCTCTACTTAAATTTCCAGCAAGAAATTTGATCTAATTATAAGATCTTACCAAATGATTAAAATTTTATAAACTGTATATCAATTCTTTTTATATATATTAAAAATAATATACTTTATATGTGTAGTAAGATGATCTATCTTTTTGAAAGAATTAATTAAGAACATTTCAAAAGTTTACTTAGTTAACTAAAGTCTAAATATTTATCTATTCTATGACATACACAACTCTTTCATACTCACAATACCTGGGAAGGAGAACTTTTCCTATCTCTTTAAAGCAATGGCAGCATGATTTCTTTTTCAGATTATATAGTTCTACTCTTCCGCTTGGAGCATTCAACTTGTAGTTTGTAGAATTCCTCATAGAGGCTGTGATGGTCTCTGACGATCCATAAATACATGTAGTGTGCTCTTGGTCAGTGTACTTATGAGCAACTCTCTTGATTATATGCATGTATTTTAAGGATTGTAAGAGTTCTCAAGACCAAGCCTGAAGATCCAGACCTTCAATTCATTGATGGATACCACCAAGTTCGAGCAAGCCTTAAGCAAGCATTCATGGTGGAGTGATGGTGATGGACAATCTTTGCAAAGTTCTTGAGCTTCCATTCCATCAAAAATCTTGGGCGCTTCAATGATGTTCCAAACACAATAGGTTGTGCCTTCACAAAGTTCATGAGACCTTGCTACAACTAAATCTTGTGTGCTCTACATGGACAAGATCGGTCCTTCCTGCCACATGAATATTGCTTTTACTTGACCCTTGTTAAGATATTCAAAATGTCAACAGCCAGGTATTTCATGATAATAGGCATGTTCTTTAATTGAAC